TATGCTTTTGAAAATTACTGATTTTGTTTTAACTCTTTGCTCTCAAGAGATTATTGTTGTTAGGGTAAGCATTTTTTAATTTTGCAAATGAAAATATTTGCGAGAAAGTCTGACATTAGCAGTGCTAAAATATATATTTCATGCAGTTTTAGCTCAATTCAAATACAGAATCAAGTATTATCCGAGGATGTAGTGTTCACATTTTGGGCATATATCTCTTTATTTTAGACAAATTTAATATGAGAAGTCAACTTGCATACTAGTACGGTGTTTATTGTGGATAGGTTCACGCTATATAACAAAGGTATAAATTATATTTTGGATACAATTAATAAACAAGAGGTTCGGGCGCCTGAATAGCTTATCTGCTTATCTGCTCTCATTTTACCTACATTACATTCTATATTCGATATAGTGCATACATATGTACATACGTATTAATTATAATTGCATTTACATACAAGAAGAAAGTTGTTGTCAATAAATCTTAAACATTAACACCATACAAAGGCATTTCAAATCGATTGTTATTTTAATTTTATTTATTTTTTTATTTATTTTTTGTATTGAATAATTTGTTTAGAGCGCACATGTTTTCTAGGCTATATAAACAACGATTCTACGATTAAAGATTTTTTGGATTTTCAATTAATTGGAAATACAAATACGGCTTCACGTGCCGAATGGAGGGGTATCTGAAGTGGATTGATAGCACATGGCCAAAAATCACGTAAGTAAATGAAAATGTCTAAACATTTTCTTCAGGTTGGTAAGTTATGGATTGTAAAATGATTCATGTAGCACAGCAAAAACGTGTTTTTAAAAATCACTTTTTGGTTGTGCTACATGAATCTTTTCACAATAAAATAAAAACTATTGATAGAACATTGTCTATAAACAAGTTCAAATTAAGAAATAATCAACATGTATATATATATATAGAGGTTACACAACAAGTGGTTGTTGAATATGGTATTTATTTCACTCGAGTTAGTTAATTTTCAAAAGTTACAAAAGACACGAGTTTTAGCGAGTGTCTTTCTGTAACTTTTGAAAATTAACTAACGAGATGGAAATAAATACCATACTCAACAACCACGAGTCGTGTGATCTGTTTCTACCACAATCTCATGATCAGTCGGAAATAACATACACACACGTGTTTGTTGACAAGGCTGGCGTAGTGATATGACCCATATGTAAAAAGTCACTCATTAATATTCAAAAATGACTTTTTTTTTACAAATTTAATCATTGTCAAAATTAATGTTTCGGCAACAACGTCATGAAAAAATAAAATATATGAACGACTTTAAATATTGAGAGCAGAGGTATTGCATTAATTTATATAAATTAACCACGGACTATATGCGCGTAAGCATATCGTACGAAGTCTGCCTCCCGCCAAGTGTTGAACTCACCGTAACTCACCGTTGTATCTGTATACGAACTTATCGCTGTCAATATCCAAAACCATAGGCCTACGTTTCTTCGTGACGGTTCTATGGTTGACGTTTATAGTGAAAGTTCAGCCATAGTCAGACCGTCTAAATAGCGATAACGGGACGTTGGGAGAACGAAATATTTCCCGACACTGTGACAGATCTTGTTTTGGTTTCACGACCTGGACACGCGACGGTGTGACGTCGAAACGATATCGAGCGTCTGTAGCAATTTTGCCTGAAATTAGCGATCAAATCTTTAAGTATCATCTTTTAATATTGCCACGTGTGGTATATAACTCATATTTATCCAACACTCTGCGTGTTTATACAATGATCTGAGAGTGGAATAACACAGCGTATTGTGGTAGAAATATATATAGCAGATATCTAAGATTTGAAAAACGATATTTTAACTTTTTGTCGTAAAATAAGATTAGTTGAAAAATACAGTGGTACACAGGACAATGATGACCCACCATTAGTCAAAAATAAGTCGAAATGGAATTCGCCAAATACATGGAGTGTTTTGGATAAGTAGAAGATTATGAATTGAAAAAGACAACCTAAAAACGTTTACTATGAACATCCAAATTTGATATGAATGCCACGAATGTTGTCACTGGTGTAAAAAAAAAAATGAATTTCAAGACTACGTTTTTGCAAATGGTTCCAAAATAGTATTTTGGTCAGAAATGTAATTTACTCTGTAATATGTAAAAAAAAAATGGTGAATCTTATATCGGACAAACCGGATGTAAATTGAGACTACGAATGAATGTAAAAAGACAACCAATGAAGGACAATGAACTAAGATTTTTAAAAGTTAACAAGCATATGCATCAATGTTCTATAGATGATTTTTATGTGTTACCTATTTACAAACGGAATACCGACAATGTAGTTGCAAGAGAATTTAAAGAATAAATGTATATAAAACACCTCAAACCCAGCTTGAATGCACAATGATTTTTACAATGTTTTGTATGTAGATGTTTTCTTTGTCCTTGTATTGTTTGTGATTGTCACAGTGATTGTTTAATGATGACGTAACTAAAATCGTTGACCATGCAAATATTGATAACGTCATGTGACCAACGGTGATAAATACACATCAAATCCGCCCGAAGAAACCCCAGAAGGCAGAAAGGCCTAGCGATAGATTTGACGGATTTACTATTTCATTCTATACATGTATTTTCCTTCGCAAGGACTTGTTTATTTAAATCAAATTAATTAGATTAAATTCCATGTGAAGTAAGTAAGCATAATACACTAACATAAGTTGATTAAGCAAGGGACATTATAATGTTGTCCTTTTGAAGTAAACCTGAAGAGGCATGTGAAGGGTGAAAGCAGAATTTTTTGTAGTCGGTCGTTAGATATTATTTTTTCTTTATGCGTGTGTGCGTGTTTTATGGGATAATATATCACAAGAGTGAGAAACAAAATCGGAAAAAGATGAACGCTATACATTACCGGTGATTACATCTTTCAAAATGGTAATAGATACAGCATTTCAAAAAGGATAAGCGTTGCATGATACAGCTGCTGCGTCCTTTTCGGACTCACCAGTGATGCCAGGGGGCAAAAAAACAGGTTCGTCAAACGAAGGTTGCTTGCATACAGCGTTGCTTATTTGTCCAACATTATCAATCCCGAGTTTTCCCCCATAATACACTAACATAAGTTGATTATATCTTTTCTACCTAGTAAAATATAATGGAAGTCTTTTTCGAGTCTACTTCAGTGTTCATACGCTTATAATAAGCAAGGGAACAAAGATAATCTATTTGCATAAAGTAGGCTGTTCTTTTATGTGTGACAATATTCGTCATGTGACGCTTGTTTGTCTTTATTTCACAACAAGCTGTGCGTTTTATCATTTCTGACTTTGTGTGCAGTTGTCCTATTTCGTTTATTTAACCTGTATATTTTGGGAAAAGTTTTTGATTTTCAGTTGCCATCAGGTCGATAGACGACAAACAACCAACACTCACGTCGTACTTTATATCAAATGTTTATTTCAATCACTTAAAACCACCAATCTATCGACATAGCTAGTTAACACATGCAATCAACATTCGACGGTGTACAAACTTTTTTTCAAGTCACCTTCGCGGTGAGTCAGGCGAAACATTCTGACTGTGAACTTAACAGGTTTAAAGTAGACCTAGAGAAACGTTTTGTCATAAACAAACTTCATTTATTTTGACAACAATTATAAAACAAGCTATTTCAACTTATATTAATCACTCTTGTTGGCCCGGATGTTTGCGCGTGGTTTTTTTCTTTTTGAGTGAGAAAACCGGAGTACCCGGTTTGTTATCCGCAAACAAATTCTGAAATACATACATAATGAAATGCTTGTACTCGCATTCGTCAAAGGTAACAAGTACTCCGGCACGTTTGTTTACATTTGCATGGACGGCTTTTGTAACACACAAACACTTCAGTAGCTCATTTTGTCATTATGACAAAGCATCCATTGTGCTGCAAAGGGACTGTAGTATCTGTTAAGTTTTTCCCCCTCTACATGAGAGTGTCATTGACCATTTTCAGAGTCTGTATGTTTGTTCAGTGCCGTCAACAGTTGACCCCAGAACCTTCTTTGGCTTGTCCTGTCACATGACCATGTACAACAATTGACCATGCTTAGCAGGGCCCGCATGGACGGCGATATATTGATACTGTCCATATCCTCCAATAGTATAATGCTTAAGACACCAGGTCCTTCCCGAATGGCCTTCGTCTGTGTCAGGGCTAATTGGTAATCGCACCATTCACAGTCCAATAATGACCGTGATAGTATAACAACGATGTTTTTGCTTAGCTCAAATTTGTTAGTAATGTTTTCAACAATCAGCGCACCAGGTTCAAAATCCCTAGCCGGAATACACAATCGACAGTGTGATTTGATCTCTAATTCGGGTATAAGTCGGTTCTTAATGAAGGAATGGTCGCCATCGCTGTAGATAACATACGCATCGTATTTGAAGTCGAAGTCATGTACAAGTCTTTGGTATCCAAGTTGGTGCAAACCGGTAACGTGTAGCCAGTAGCGCAGGTGAAACCTATATCTGAAACTTATCGATACCATCAAAACCAGGAATATGAATGTTACCGAAATGCCTATGCATGCATCTTGCAGAGTTTTGCCTATGTCAGCGCACATTTCATCTGTAGGATTGTAATCCTTCAACAACACATTGTTCAAGTCTGGGGGTGATCTACAAATGTATCGATTTGGATAATTGACGATTTTAGTATGTTTAGTCGATTTCATCCAATCAAGAAACCATTTGAGATCACATGAACACGAGAATGGATTATTTGTTAGGCAGAGTTTGTTGAGGGAATTCAGAAAATGTTGTGGAAAAGATGTTTTATTTACAAGTTTTATGTTGTTTCCATCAAGGTACAGGTTTCTTATTGACGTGACATTACCAAACACATTCGGATCGTCGTTCCAGCCGCTTATATAATTACCGATGAGAACCAATTTATTCAGTTTAGGCATGAGTTGGAAGACGTTTCTCGGGAGTGCCTTGAGGGATGTGCTTTGCAGTATGAGCGTTAGCAATTTCTTCAATGGCGAAAAAAGATATCGAAGAGCTTTTGAATTTGACGGCAATACATTATCAGTCAAGTCAAGGAACAAGTTCGGCACTAAAGCTAAACATGCGTAAATTCGAATTGTTTTGTCTGTCAAATCTGAAGCGGTTGGCTCCAAATGACAGTCGCTGAAGACTAGATGAGTTAAATGCACTAAGTTCGATTCTATTAATATGAACACTGTTCGAGTTCATTTTGAGACTGCGAAGACGTGGCAAATCTGCAAAGGTATTGTTTTTAAGTTCTCTAACGGAAATTTCATCAAGTTTCAGAGTGCGCAGGTTCCTTAGACACGAAAATGATGATTGGTTTAAAGAGTAAACAGGATTGGATGTGAGGTCGAGAGTCGTGTAATTACCTGTTTTTGTTCCCAAAGGCCCACAAAAAGACGGAATATGAAGCAAGTGATTGAAACCTATGTTGACCGTCAGGATATTTGTAGATTCAAATCCGGTAGTGTTGAATTCCGTTAAGTCGTTTCTAGATAAATCTAGTTGTTCTAGAGAATGAACATCTGAGAAGAAAGATGCACTTACATATTTGATATTATTATTTTTCAACGAAATCTTCTTTAAAAGAGAATCCTGAAGTCCTGCGAACATGAATACTGGTATCGAATTCCAGCCGTTGGACTCCAAATTTATTTCATGAAGATTTAGGGTTTGGTTTAAGAAAGCAGGCACAACATCTGGGTTTAGCTTTCTATTTGAATCAAACGATAAATGTGTAAGGTTTAGGAAAGCACTGAAGGCGTCTGGTTCAACGTTGACCGTGTTGGTGTCGACAAAGTCTAGTGATGCTATTGTATTCTGGCTTAAATTAAACAGTAGAACATCGGATACCGTTGTGAAATTTGTCCCTGCAAAAAGCACGTGTTTAACATAGTGTGGTAGTTTCGGAATCGTTTGCAATCCACCACATTTTGCTGACTTTTGACGGAACCTGCATTTACATTTTGGTGGACAAGGAACACCCGTTTTGCTGTCACAGATTAATGCACTGAGTAGTAATGCAAGGGTGGTAGCCCATATCTTCTTATTCGTCATGGTGACTGTAAAACAAATAAATAAACAACCATTATTATTTAACCACTGACATTATAATGTATATATTTTGCGTGATACTCAAAATCAAATAGCTATCAGAGATCGTTTCTTTAATAATAACACTACTTTAATGCCCTTACACAATTAATTATGGAATATATTATTTACATATGTAGCTGTTTCGTTTTCAGCCATACTCGCAAATACGTCCTCTGAAGAACTATATTGCCAAAAACAGGAATCGGTATCAGTCGTGGTGTAAAGTACCTAAGGCAATTAATCGCGTTGTCAACAGTCAGCGTGTGTATCGATATATCAGTAGTCTATATCGAATCAAACTTTAAGTCATCACGAGGATGAGGGGCCGCGGTTGCCAAGTGGTTAAGGCGTCTGACATTCTGCTACCACTAGCCATCCACCACTGGGTCGCAGGTTAGAGGCCTACATGGGGCAGTCGCCAGGTACTGGCCGTAGGTCGGTGGTCTTTCTCCGGGAACTCCGGCTTTCCTCCACCACCACAACCTGGCACGTCCATAACCGACCATAGCTGTTAATAGGGCGTTAAACACAAACAAACTATTCCAAACCAGGAGAATGCTCACTTATATTATCACTCCACTTTTTTCACATCTGGATTTGAATTTTGTTTTTATCCATTGAAGCACACATTCCTAATATTATCATAAGAATTTATTTCAATACATTCATCACAGTTAACTAAGCGTTATGGTCCAACTATCTATACACAATCCACCCACCTGGCATTATTATCAACAGTTTCAGAAACATTCATGTAAAAAACAATCCGGGAATCAAATAACGACACGTTGACGTAATTTGTCCGTATACAACCATGAGTGATTCATAATTACTACGGATCCAATCCCATTGTTCGTACTATATCCAAGCTAGACAGTTAAAACGCTACAGGAAATGACGGTTTAACAACATTTAGAGACCTTTCACGAAACAATGGTTGAAATTTAAGGCAAAAGAAGTATATACGATCTGAAATAAGATAACACCTGGTTTTATTTTTGACTTCGTAAAGAAAAATCAGGTTTTATATTCTTTCAGTAAACAAATCACCATCGATGTGCAACGAGTTAAATCCACAAGGTATGGAAAGATGTCTTTCGTATGATTTGATACGTGCAAAAAATCTTACACAATGAATGCTTTTTAGTTTTCATCTTATTCTTGGGTCGGGTTTTTTTTTGTGGGGGGGGGACCTTCTTGGTTGTTTGTGGTTTTTTTTTTAATTTTTTTTTGCTCTGAACTTATGATAAAAAAGCATCTACTCCTTTTATTTTATTTTTTTTGACACGTTCGCATGTATATCATGCATTTCGTCTTCGTCTTTTAATCATTTGTGTAGTTTGTGATTTTAACTTCCTTATGCCACATCGCTCATTACGTTTTGTTCCATCTTGTAGACCGGCTCATGTTTGTTTGTGCATATTTTTTTTAATTTTATATTTCTTGTCAATTTGCTAGCTTTGAAATCATATATTATGCCAACTTTTCTTTGCGATAGATTTGCTGATTGTTCTTTGATATAAACATGTATTGTTAAAATATACATGCTAAATGATATATGATGTAACTGTATATGTTTTATCTTTTTACTTTGTTTACCGTTACAATAGTTCTGGAGTTAGTATTACATGTTACCACTGATTTACGACGTTTGATAAAGGATATTGTATCTTATACATCTTTACTTCCATCAAGATATGGAAATGTTGTTTACAAACTGCATGAGTGAACAATATTTCCCCGTTTACTTCTCTGTCACTTTACGCCAAGTGTGTAAATGATAGATCCAACTTCCTGTGGTTTTATCTTATCTGTTAGTTACTTCCGTGTCGCTAGAGACAAGTTCAGTTTTAATTTCCCGTTCTCCCTCCTTACGGTATTTTTTTTTTTTAAACATTTGACATCAATAAACACACATTTTCTGAAGTTGTCTTGTTTCAAGTTTTATATATATACATGCTTATAAAGAGAGAAAAAATAAGATCTAACGACCAACTTCAGAACTAAGAGCTTTCACTCGTCAACAGGGCTCTTCGGGTTACTTGCAGAACGACAACATCGTGACGTTGTGCAATAACATGTCTTTATTTATCATAGTATAGGTTATTTGCTATAGAGAGATATAATCCTTTAACTATTTTTGTACCATGGTGTCGTTTTCTTAGTTACAGAATTCTATGAAAGCATTGGGATATGATTATCACCCTTTTGTCACGAGACACCCGTGATAGACAGGCCTCCTTGTTCAAATCCCGATAACCATAGCGGTTCGTTATCGCAACTATTGGTTGTGTTTTTTAAGAAATACCTGATAACGGATATGTATCTCCTTTTGTCTTCAGACAATCAACCTGAGCGATCCTCCATTTTGTTTGAATTATTTGGAGAGTTTTCGTTCATAATGCTTATTTGAAATTATACGCCCCGTTTGCACTAAGTTGAGTAAGTATTTGCTAAGCGTTAAGGGAAATTTTAAATAACAATAAAACAAACAAAAAGATGTTAATCGAATATCTTTTCATTGTTGCATATTTGTTGAGACATATCAGATTTATGTGTTTCGGAGATACATTTCCCTTTAAAAGCCTTTGTTTCTTACTGACAACAATTCGAAAGGGCCGGTTTCCAAAACGGCCCCTTCTCTGATTCAAATTTCCTGTTGGTGGTGCATTGCCCATGCCGTTGTGGTCACAAATCTATAAAGTATAAAGATTTAGGTCACTTGGTTTGTTTTTTATGGCTCCTCAAAGTTGTACCTTTCAGAAGCTGTCTAAGTGTTGATAAAATGTGCATGTTATGTAAAATATTAATGAAAATCTAATCAAATGATGGTCACCGTAAAGAATACATTCATGGCATGATTGTGACAAAAAATCATGTTTCCATCGCGCCATTTGGCTGTTTTATGGAAGAAACAATCTCAAAAATGCCATTTTCGATGATAACATTTTAGACACAAAAACTGTGTTTTTTAGAGAATACACCCTTTTATGGGCGTTGGATNAACAACTACTGGTTAAGGCTAAAAGCCGTTCAGCAACCGGGGCAAAGCTTTCCATATTTGTAACCACAGAAACGAAATCATGTATGAGTAAAACACTGTGCATAAGCCTTCAATTGTTTGGTGTAGAGCACGCAATGTTTCAAATGCCGTCCATTGTTTACCTGACCCGTCCATTGTTTACCTGACCCGTCCATTGTTTAACTGACCCGTCCATTGTTTACCTGACCCGTCCATTGTTTTCCTGACCCGTCCATTGTTTACCTGACCCGTCCATTGTTTACCTGACCTGTCGATTGTTTTCCTGACCCGTCCATTGTTTTCCCAAGCCATCCATTGTTTTTCTGACCCGTCCATTGTTTACTTGACCCGTCCGTTGTTTTCCTGACCCGTCCAAAATTTTCCTTTCCCGTCCATTATTTACCCGACCCGTCCATTGTTTTCCTGACCCGTCCAATGTTTACAGGACCCGTCCATACTTTACCTTACCCGTCCATTGTTTACCTGAACCGTCCATTGTTTTTCTGACCCGTCCATTGTTTACTTGACCCGTCCGTTGTTTTCCTGACCCGTCCATAATTTTCCTTACCCGTCCATTATTATGCTGACCCGTTCATTGTTTTTCTGACCCGTCCAATGTTTACCTGACCCGTCCATAGTTTACCTTACCCGTCCATAGTTTACCTTAACCGTCCATTGTTTACCTGAACCGTCCATTGTTTTCCTGACCCGTCCAATGTTTACCTTACCCGTCCATTGTTTACCTGACCTGTCCATTGTTTACCTGAACCGTCCATTGTTTTTCTGACCCGTCCAATGTTTACCTTACCCGTCCATTGTTTACCTCACCCGTCCATTGTTTACCTGACCCGTCCGTTGTTTACCTGACCCGTCCGTTGTTTACCTGACCCGTCCATTGTTCACCTGACCCGTCCATTGTTTTCCTTACCCGTCCATTATTATGCTGACCCGTTCATTGTTTTTCTGACCCGTCCATAGTTTACCTTACCCGTCCATAGTTTACCTTACCCGTCCATTGTTTACCTGAACCGTCCATTGTTTAACTGACCCGTCCATTGTTCACCTGACCCGTCCATTGTTTAACTGACCCGTCCATTGCTTACCTGACCCGTCCATTGTTTTCCTGACCCGTCCATTGTTTAACTGACCTGTCCATTGCTTACCTGACCCGTCCATAGTTTTCCTGACCCGTCCATTGTTTACCATTTTAACTTACATGTTATTGTAGAGAACAGATCATTACGGTACATACTCGTGTTATTATTAATCGTACAAATAAATATAAGAAGTTTTAGCAACGATATCGATTTAAAATACTGTAAGTTGATAAGGCAATCAAAACCAGACAATTGAGCTGCCGATATGTGAGCCTTCCATAATGACATTCTTATCATGCAGGAAGTAAATTTCACAAGTATTTATTAAGTCAACGACCTGTTTTCCCCCACACTTAGCTAGTATTATAAAAGAGAGATATACAATGCAAAATAGTAAAGTAAACAACCCATCATTTGTTGACCAAATGCCTCTTATTCGTAAATTCGTCTACGTTTGTATTTAGAGGGCAGTAACGAGTATGCATTTACCCACAAAAGTGTCAGTCAATTTCAACAAAAAAAAATTACAAACATTATACATTCTGAAACAGAAGATCCTGATGTATTTAGAATATATTCTTACAGTATAGCAACAGTGAGAAATTTCACAACTTACCTCAAACAATCCGCGTAACAGACAGTGAAGAGGCGTCTGCTGTAGGGATTACCGGATAAGTAATGAAATAGGGTGTCGTGTGTACGCGCTATTCATCACATACAATCGCGTTGTGCTGTCGTTTAATTCCTTATCTTGTTTCTGTAGGGTTTTACGTCCTGGATGTTTTTGTGACTAGTCACAATGTGCAAGTAATATACTAGATCAGCGTTATCTAGTGAATGTTATGCGTTAAAGGGTATGTTGGACTTATGAGCACAAATGTCAAATCTAACAGAAACTCCGAACATAAACTTTTATTTTAATATATCCCTATCTGACATCAAACTGATAGCATGTATATTTGTACATCACAAATAACACTTGGAATAGACTTTCTTTACCTCCAAAGTTTTAGATTAGTGAACTTTTCTTCCACTTTCATAACAATGAAAATCGTTTCTATCTCCATGCATAATAATACATCGTAATTTTTAATTATTTCACAATGTTTAAACTCATTTCGCGAATAAAGATGAAAACTGATTTTTATGAAAATATAAAATATGGATGTCATACAGGGAAGTCGCGACCTTGCGGGTTGGAGAACCTCCATTGATACTTCGCGCTATTGTTTAAAACCACATATCTCTATAACTATATCGTCCATTTATGTGTAATTTTGATAAGATACGTTATACACATATTCAAAGTTGTATATATACGGACCCTGGAGTATGGGATTAGTGTGCCACTGCACGCGCCAATCATAATACACATATGGACTGTAGGGTTAAGGAACCTGTACAACGCCTTTGTGTTTCAAATGAAGTCATGTCCATGTTTCTGTGGATAATTTAGACCATAACACCCAGTTGCCATCAGTTAACTTTAACACATACCACATGACTACACTGTATGAGGTTAACAGCAGTTTGTCAATACCGGTGCAGAATCTGTAACCCTATAGCTATTAATACGCCTTTGATGCGTCAGGATCCAGAGCAACAGAATCTAATTGTTCTTTGCTTTTCAAAATCTCCATAGCTTCCTGGTGCATTTAATGATTGCTGCTGGATGAAGACGGGAGGAGATCCCTAAACTGACCAGCATATACATGACATCATAGATCATATCAAATTCTTCAACAGTGATTACATTTCTTCACTACATCATCCAGGAAGTCAAAAAAGTAGTTCCCTAAGTGGCAAAGATACATTTCATAACCGACAATCCCACAAGTACAATGTAACGGCTGTGGCGTCAAAAGATAAACTCGATATGACGTCACAACATGAAGTCATCCATCTAAGGATTGAACGGTTTATTCCGATAAGATCCCAAATCGGTTGCATACATGCATGCTTCATGGTAGAAATATATACAATTGCGTTCATACCAGCATGAACATTAAAAGATGTTGGTTAATTACACATTTTCATATTCTTAATTTCATAAAAAAGATGCCCAGAAGGGTCTATATCGCTCACCTGTTTGTTTTGTTACATGGAGTTGTTGGCCTAATATTGTGAAGTTAGATTGATTGGATATTAAGAAGTTATTAAGATATTGGAAGTTGAAGGTTTACAGTTACATGTATTTGACACCTGTGACCTTGAAAGTAAATCAAGGTCATTTTCATTCGCAAATTTAGTCGGACTCCATCATACGATGCTACGGGCAAAACATCATGACTCTAGGCCTTTCGAATCTTCAGAAGAAGTCGTTGGAATGTTTAGACCTACCGTTGTTTGACCCCTGTGACCTTGAAAGTAGGTCAAAGTAATTTTAATTTGCGAACTTTGTTGTGCGTTATCAAAAGAAGATACTGGACATATATCATGACTCTAGACCTTTCAGATCTTCATCAGAAGTCGTTTGAAGGCTTAGACCTATTCGACCCCTGTGACCTTGAAAGAGGGTCAAGGTCATTTTCATTCGCAAACTTTGTTGGGCTTATCATAGGATCGTACTGGCCATATATCATGACTCCAGACCTTTCGGATTTGCAGAAGTAGTCGTTTGAATATTTCGACCTATTTGACCCCTGTGACCTTGAAAGTTGGGCTTCATCATAGGAAGGTACTGGCAAAATATCATGACTTTGTGACTTTCAGATCTTCAGAAGAAGTCGTTAGAATGTTTTGACCTATTTAACCCCTCTGACCTTGAAAGTAGGTCAAGGTCATTTTTATTCGCAAACTTGTCGGGCTCCATCCCAGGATGTTAGTGGCCAAATAGCATGAATGTAGGACTTTCGGACCTTCAGAAGAAGTTGTTTATGACAGAAAGTTGACGGACGGACGCCGCACTATGGCATACAGGTGAGCTGAAAATGACTTTGGTCAAATTGTGTTTATAGCCCTATGACCTAAATTTCTTCTGATGGTGCTTATAGAGGAACTTAAAGTGGATATGTAATTAAATGGTACATTCCTGCATGAGTAGGAGGACACCTGGCCATGGAAACATTGTAACGGAGGAATAGAGCATTGAGTCAATGGCAGTCAGGCCATATACAACTACACCCATCGCACTATACACCCATAGCCTAGAAAATAACACAACACATCACACTTACTGTACAATAACGTCCCAATGATCGCTATATATAGGATAACTGCTTGTAGGATCAGACATCATCATTGCCTCACTATCCAGTACATAAACAGCTTTACTATTGTACGTCGTGTGCATTGGGTTACTTTCACGCTGGTTTTATTGTGGCGTTCTTTCTTCAAATTTATTCAGCAATGCACGAATTAATTTAAGTACACGTTAAGTATCCAATGTACAAAGCAGGAACACCATTAATGCTAATTCAGTCCGTTATTGAAGTAATTTAAGCCGCATTATATAATTTCCTCTTTTTTTAATGGGCGTTCGATTTGATGATTATTTAATTGTAAATTAGCCACCTAATGGTAAGCATCCATGAATTTGCTTGACATTGAATGCCTTACTTACTCTTGAGCATGCTTCAGTACACCATTAACAACTATTGCATACGTAAAAGTTAGGAACTGTAAGACGGTAAGTTCATTTGTACATGATTTTGTAGTTAATATTATTTGTACTACCTCAATTTTGTGTTGATAATTTACTGCAAACCAGTGCCTGCCATATTGGCCTGCTAATCTTTTAAGGTTTTTTTTCTTATAGTGAATTTAATACGACAGAATAAAACTGGCATTTGATGACATATAACAACACTCTAATCTTTAATGTATTATGGGCACGACAGTATGCACCTTAAAGGTCATACAAGGAAATAAAACAGGTTTTTAAAACTAAATGTGAGGCATTTGAGTAAGAAAAATGTCATGACAAAATGTAGATTCAAGATAAGTTTAATGAGGAAGTACATTGTGTACATTTGTAGGCACATGTAAGTAAATCTTGTTTGTGTACTTCTGTGTGGACTGGAAAGATTTCATATTTAGCAATCAGCAAACAAATAATTCCACCAACGTAAACTATTTACATTTGCTCTGCATCTTTCCATTGTAATGCATTGTGAAGATCAAGTGTTGTTATGAGACTATAAAAACATTTGCTTTTGAAACGTCATCAATCTCTATTGTGACGTCATCAATTTCATTGTCGTCAACACTTCGGTTGATTTGCTGGTCAAAAACTGTTTGAAATGACTAAATAAAGCATAACAACTCTATCAAAATGTATAAATATAAATGATGAATATTCTAACAAATATTGTTATGATCCTATATAACACACATTTCTATTCCCTACCAGGCTTTAACAAGTTTGTCATCACTGGCACTCTGATGAGCTTCTGACCACCTCGGCCATGAAAAAATATGCACTAACATTACATGATACCACAGTATCACATAACCTATATACTGGGTCAACGTTACTATGTACACTACCCAACATAAAAAGTCTTGCAAATAAATATACCTAAAACACCTGAATAACAGCCACCAAATTAAAATTATCATTTATTGCACATCAAGAAAGTAAATTAAATGTTGCACATGTCCATATATATATACTAGTGGTCAAGGCTAAAATTTACTGACACTAAGATGTCAGTTTTAAAATCACATAAAAATTTTAACATGAAACACAATCTAATTTCACCTGGTACACATACATACAAATCTACCTCTGTTAGATATGACCCCTATATGTCCGGCCTAGCTATCTCTCACATACACAGCATCCTATTTTAGAAAAACAAATGACCTCCAGATCAGATATGGAAGCGCCCGATATGTATTTTTCTGGAGTACAAAACTGGAAAATTATCCCCAAAATATTCCAAACTTATGTTAAAGAACAAAAGAACATATGCAGTACTGAGTGTTGGAAGGGAATCTGTGGGTATTACTGGCATAAAACCAAACCCCAACTCATTCACCCCTGGAGTTTAATAATGAACTATTCCAACTATTGAATTGGAAGAGTTCAAATGTGTCTTCAGGAGTGCACTTACATACTGACTGAACAACAATGTGGAAGCACATTGATGAAAATGACCATTATTTTCAACAGATTAATTTGTTTAGTGAGATGTGAAGTGTTATGACAAAAGCTACACGCTTGCTATACGCTGACATCGTCTGCTGAACTTTATATTGAACCATAAATCTTAGCTTTTAACAGACCAATTACTTCATGTCACCTGTGGTAAATTATGATAAAACCTGTGTAGCTGTATAAGTCTACTATTGCTATAAAAACATCCCATTTCTGTAAAATTACATGTATATAAATATACAACAAATAGATTCAGTGCTTGAAAATAAAATACATGACGATGTCGTTAATATCACAATATGATCGTAGTGCAGCTGCGCTTGAAAAATAAGAATATGACGATGTCGTCGATATCCAATATAATTGTAGTACAGCTCTCCAAGTGTTCATCACTTCAGGTTTGATTTTCACCTTCCTCGTCCACTTCCAACCTGTTATAGCGCTCCTTAAATGTACACAATACAGGAATACAGGCTACCATGGCTCCAATAACACACCAGTTCTCCCAGACCGTACCTATAGGTAACAAAAAACACAGATAAACTTACTTTATAGTCCGTTTGTCTGATGAAATCAATATCTGGTAATAACTATACATTGTATGTATTGTATTGGCTTATTCAGCTGAATTTCATGATTCCTAAATGTAGCTCATTTTATTACTGTTATCGAGTCATTCCAGACATCATAAATAGGACTTTGTTTTTCTTTATTTGAAGTTAATGAAAATATAAGGAGCTTAACACTTGTTTTCCTTTTGATTTGTCTTTTTAAACATTGTAAGCATGCACATATGTATTTCTTCATAAACCAGGGATAATTTTTCAAATGCATTTTTATTACTAGATAGGTGTATTTTTATCTTTTTTGAAAGCTCAACATGAGAAATTAAATAAGTGAGGTACATGTATCACTGGTAAAATTCTGTTGAATACTCAATGAGTACCTAATAGGTCCACAAACAAGCAGTTATTATCTAAAACACTTAGTTCCCACACTGTAGCCAGGTAACATAGGTTACTAAATCATCACGGGAACACAGTTTCCACTCTGTAGCTGCTACCGGCTGAGATCGCCATATCACCATTAAGGGACTGGAATATTCTACAGGTATCAGTTATCTTACCTTGTACAAGTGTATCAACGCTTTCTGCAGTATAAGGTATTCTTATCAACGGCATGATTTCTCATCCCAACACGATTCCTCACTCGGGAGTTTGGGGCAGGCATATTACCTGTTGTCATGAGTACGACCACTGTTTGTGAGTTTGGGTGATTGCGGTATATTTAGGCTTATTTATAAGTTTAGGAACCACTGTGCAGACACTAGTGGTATTCGATATAAAGTTTTCCGAATAGATTATAATCAGGGCCTCTCATTTGCTGAGACATGCCGAGCTATAATATTTTCTGTTCTGTTTTATGGACCGTAATAAAGGTTGTGTAATAGAATATTTGTATCGTGTTTTAGAAAATTGGGAAAAAGCCAACATCTGCAAAATGGCTGCTGCAGGCTGGCTTCCGATTAGTCAATTTTTTTGCATTGACCAATATCCCTAAAATTCTGTGTAAAGGTGTGCAATGTCACTACAAATACACATGCGTTGATTTTTTTTATTTGATGTGTTGATTCTCTCACAATTTGGGTGAACCGGATTGCGTTTGAATGTGTTTATAAGAAGATGCGCACGTGCATTGTATATCCACGTGTAGGTGTGCCGAAAGTGTCCTACACGCGTATGCGTTCCGGGTGTGTAGGAGATAACAAGAGTGATAAAACGTGTTATTGATACAGAAATACCACGCAATCGGGCAACATTATTACATTTTTCTCATCATAATGAATCAGTGAAGTTTATTGAAGACTTCTGCTGCTATTTCAAAAGTCATTGAATAAATAGATTGATAGATAAAACAATCAATAGATATTAGGCATGTTGTACATTGAACTACTAGTCATTTGGTATAATGTAAGCTCATCAATTACATGTACACTTAGGCAAGTTTTAAGACACCGCGGATGAAATCAATCAGACAATACCCCAATTGAGATAGAGAGCTGGGGTGAGAAATCGTGCCTGGTGAGAAAACGTGTCACCCATGTGCATATGTTTTGCACAATTTCTCATCCGAGTGAGAAATCGTGCAGGGGTGAGAAATCGTGTTTCGGACGCAGCAATTTTAGCACGATTTATTACCCGGGTGAGAAATCGCGTTGAGTGAGAGTTTGTGCCGAAACAACCCATATAGAGTTGAGATGAGGGATACTCAAGTGGTTACAATTGAATGACATCATGTCAACGATTCATTAACGAAACGTCAACAATGCACCGAGCCTGTAACGTTAACACTGCATTACAGATATATGGCAGGGTCAAGCACAGGTACTTAGCCTTGTCTGTCAATACACTTAATATTCATATTATAGGTGTAAGCTTGTGAAAACTGAGAGACGAGGCCAGTACTTGTGTATCAACAGGGAGAGAGAAAATAAATCATTCACCCTCTTGGAAGTGAGATAAGGGAATCCCAGCACTCCGGATATTAATCTTAAGTTGCCTAACACCCCTGACAAGCCTGGTGTTTGCCAGCTTAAGAATCTTACCCCCTGGCTGAGATTCCCCTATCTGACCTATAGAGGTTAAACATTTTGTTATTTCTACAATGCAGCTAGGTACCATATCATAACAGATATGTACTTACATGTACAATACACATCTACATTATACACATACAATATACATCTACATTATACACATACAATATACATCTACATTATACATATACAATATACATCTACATTAAACACATACAATACACATCTACATTATACACATATAATACCCATCTACATTATACACATAAAATACACATCTACATTATACACACAAAATACACATCTACATTATACATATGCAATACACATCTACATTATACACATACAATACACATCTACATTATACACACAAAATACACATCTACATTATACATATACAATACACATGTACATTATACACATACAATACACATCTACATTATACATATACAATATACATCTACATTATACACATATAATACACATCTACAGTATACACATAAAATACACATCTACATTATACACATACAATACATATCTACATTATACACATACAATACACATCTACATTATACATATACAATACACATGTACATTATACACATACAATACACATCTACATTAAACACATACAATACACACCTACATTAAACGCATACAATACACATCTACATTAAACACATACAATCCACATCTACATTAAACGCATACAATACACATCTACATTAAACACATACAATCCACATCTACATTAAACGCATACAATACACATCTACATTAAACACATACAATCCACATCTACATTAAACGCATACAATACACATCTACATTAAACACATACAATCCACATCTACATTAAACGCATACAATACACATCTACATTAAACACATACAATCCACATCTACATTAAACGCATACAATACACATCTACATTAAACACATACAATACACATCTACATTAAACGCATACAATACACATCTACATTAAACACATACAATCCACATCTACATTAAACGCATACAATACACATCTACATTAAACACATACAATCCACATCTACATTAAACGCATACAATACACATCTACATTAAACACATACAATCCACATCTACATTAAACGCATACAATACACATCTACATTAAACACATACAATCCACATCTACATTAAACGCATACAATACACATCTACATTAAACACATACAATACACATCTACATTATACACATAAAATACACATCTAGATTGTACACATACAATACACATCTACATTAAACACATACAATACACATCTACATTAAACACATATAGTACACATCTACATTATACACATACAATATACATCTACATTCACTATACACATAAAATATACATCTACATTATATACATACAATATACATCTACATTATACATATAATATACACATACAGTATACATCTTCATTATACATATAATATACACATACAGTATACATCTACATTATACACATACAAATATACTTACATTACACATTTATATTACATAAATCAACATGGTACAGTAGACACTTACCTATATTTGGAATCATCTGTACAAAGAGGAACAGCAAGCCGCCCAGATTGTTAATGGTGGTGAGCCAGAGGTTAGTGATGCCTTCGGCTACAGGGTAGGTGATCTCACATGTCATTTCATAGTACAGAGCCGGCGTGGAGGTGATGAGGACAGTGGACAGGATCACAGACACATACAGAGAAACTGTAACAGTATCAGTCTTATAGTCACATCATTTTATATATAACAATACATGTACAGTATATAGGTCTACTTCACTATGAACCTCCCTTCACAAAAGAGTTAGCATACCTGTTAAATGACCCGCATCTTGTGGGTCACACCCGCAAAATTAACCTATCACCCACGACCAACTTATGACCCGCTCGGGTGATACAAATCTCCTGCATTCCGTCAATATGACCCAGAATATCACCCGCCTCCGCACTCATATGAGTATCTCCCTATTTACGGAAGTGTTACATTTGTGTGTCTCGGAGGTTTAGCATTCGGGTATGGTTAAAGTCTGCAGACACAATTTGAAATTGTTTGACATTAATTAAACATTTGTGCCAAGTTGATCAAAGCCTGAATAGCAGAAATTATAACTTATATACAAATGTATTTTCAACAAGAGGCCCAATGGGCCTGCATCGCTCACCTGGTATTAATCTCACAATTGTAACCTTAAAAGTGGACTAAAATAAAGCTACAGGCAAAATGTCAAGTGTCTTGACTTCAAGTCATTCAGAAGAAGCTGTTAAACCATTTGACCCCTGTGACCTTAAAAAGTCAAACATGGACATTAAGTTGAACAAACTCCATAACCCTGCTTCCCAGAATGCAACTTGCCAATATCACCACCATATACCTTTCGTTTATTAAGATGCACTATGGACCAGATATGACCATGAAAGTATGTCAAGGTCATTCACATCAACAAGCAATAAACCTGTATGCTTTAGTTATTCAGAAGAAGTCATTTAAAGATTTCAACATACTTGATCCCAGTGTGACCTTGAATATGAGCAAAGGTCATTCATTTGAACAAACCTGGTAGCCCTTTATGCCAATATCCTTCTGGCCATATATCATCACCCTAGACCTTTTAGTTATACAGAAGTCGTTAAAAGGTTTTCAAGACAATTGACCTCTGTGACCATGAATATGAACAAAGGTCATTTATTTGAACAAACTTGGAAGCCCTTGATGCCAACATCCTTCTGGCCGAATATCATCACCCTGGATCTTTTGGTTAGATAAAAGAAGTAATTTAAAGGTTTTTAAGACAATTGACCCCTGTGACCTTGAATATGAGTGAAGGTCATTTGTTTGAACAAACTTGGTAGCCCTTTGTGCCAACATCCTTCTGGCCAAATTTCATCACCCTAGACCTTTTTGATATACAAAAGAAGTTGTTTAAAAGTTTTCAAGACAATTGACCCCTGTGACCTTGAATATGAGTGAAGGTCATTCATTTGAACAAACGTGGTAGCCCTTCATGCCAACCTTCGGGCCAGGTGAGCTAATAATAAAAATTGCAAGTACTACAAGAATATGACTATTATGACATTTTTCCAATATGATCACAGGTCTCCATTATATTGACCAGCTTGATCTGGCTAACTTGGTTTGGAATAATGTAATAGAAATAGGTGACAAACTAGAAAAAAAAATTATGTAATGATATAATTAGATCTGGCACCCCAAACTTTTTTTTGTCAATGAAAAATAGAACTTTTAAGCTATTACATTGTATTATTTTTTGGACCCACCCCTTAACACGGGGGTTCAGCCCCGCAATTTGTACAATTTTGAATCCATGCCTCCCATTAATGCTTCTGACCAAATATGATCGATATCCATGGCATAATTCTACAGAAAAAGTCGTTTATAGCAATAAAGTCAAATTGCCCCCTTTTGGCCCCGCCCCTCAGCCCCCTGGGGGGTCAGCCAAACCATTTGTACAATTTTGAATCCCCTCGGGGGCCAGACCTACGGTTTATACAAAATTGGTTCCCCTTCACCCAATGATGCTTCAGATTTTAAAGAATTTGCTATATTACCCCAATTAGGCCCCGCCCCTCAGCCCCCAGGGGGGCCAGACCCATTTATACAAAATTTGATCCCTTTCCCCTAAGAATGCTTCTGACCAAATTTGGTCAAAATCTGCTCAGCTGTTTATGACAAGTAGCGATTTTTAGGAAAAGTTGATGGACGCTGGTCGGCAGACGCTGGACGACGCGCCATGGCATAAGCTCACTTGCCCTTCAGGCAGGTGAGCTAAAAATATTGATATTAAAAAATGAAGTTGTCTGTAAAAGGATTCATAATTAGTCATTTTCAAATGGCAAGAAGCACATAGATATTTTTAAATAGTTCTCAAAAACCACATTTTGAACACCAATTTGAATTTATAAGGATTTTAACAACTTGGCCCTGCAAAATATTTTTTCTTTTCAATAAATTTAAATTGTTTATTTGATAAACTATGTGAAAAGCATTCTCGATATCCAGGGGTTATGCCCACTAATTACGCTCTCTGCAGTACAACTGAGATATGTCATATCAGTGTGCGCCACCTTGTTGAAGAGACAAGACTAGTTCGATCCATTGATGTACATCAAAAGAATCTCGCAGTCACGTAACAGTAACAAGAGGCCCAATGGGCCTGCGTCGCTCACCTGGTATTAATCTCACAATTGTAGTCTTAAAAGAGGACTAAAATAAAGCTACAGGCAAAATATCAGCGTCTTGACTTAAAAGTTTAAAGTAATTCAGAAAAAATGGGCAAAGGTCATTCATTTGAACAAACTTGGTAGCCCTTCATCCCAGCCTCTCGGTTATTCAGAAGAAGTCCTTTAAAGGTTTTAAACAAATTTGTCCCCTGTGACCTTGAATATAAATCAAGGTCATTTATTTGAACAAACTTGGTAGCCCTTCATCCAAGCATGTTACTGGCCAAATATCACCCTAGGCATCTCAGTTATTCAGAAGAAGTCGTTTAAAGGTTTTAAACATATTTTACCCCAGTTACCTTGAACATAAGTCAAGGTCATTTATTTGAACAAACTTGGTAGCCCTTCATCCCAGCATGTTACTGGCCAAATATCATCACCCTAGGCCTCTTGGTTATTCAGAAGAAGTTGTTTAAAGGTTTTTAAGATATTTGACCCCAGTGACCTTGAATATAAATCAAGGTAATTTATTTGAATAAACTTGGTAGCCCTTCATCCAAGCATGTTACTGGCAAAATATCATCACCCTAGGCCTCTTAGTTATTAAGAAGAAGTTGTTTAAAGGTTTTAAACATATTTGACCCCAGTGACCTTGAATATTAATCAAGGTCATTTATTTGAACAAACTTAATTGGTAGCCCTTCATTCCAGCATGTTACTGGCATCACCCTAAGCCTCTCGGTTATTCAGAAGAAGTCGTTTAAAGGTTTTAAAGATATTTGACCCCAGTGATCTTGTATATAAATCAAGGTCATTTATTTGAACAAACTTGGTAGACCTTCATCCCAGCATGTAACTGGCCATATATCATCACCCTAGGCCTCTCGGTTATTCAGAAGAAGTTGTTTACAGGTTTTAAACATATTTGACCCCTGTGACCTTGAATATAAATAAAGGTCATTTATTTGAACAAACTTGGTAGCCCTTCATTCCAGCATGTAACTGGTCAAATATCATCACCCTAGGCCTCTTGGTTATTCAGAAGAAGTCGTTTAAAGGTTTTAAAGATATTTGACTCCAGTGACCTTGAATATAAATCAAGGGGCCAGGTGAGCTAAAAATCGACAGGCTTTGAAGTCAGGCGTTGCCCCTTTGTAATCTTCAAAGGACAGTTATCAGCCCAGCATTGGTCAGGTTTTTTCCACCCGAGACCAATCAAACAGCTATCTTTGTGCCTTCAATTTTGCTATGACATATATCCCAGGGGTGCAGAGAGTGTACGTGAGCGCAACCCCCCTAGATATCGAGGATGTGTGAAAGGTAGTAGTACACACACATTTTGAAGGGAGATAACTCTTACACAAATCAGATGTTCAATGTGCTGGTAACCTACAGCTATATTTACCAATTCATAGAACATTTAAACTCATTTTATTCTTAATTCTTAAATACTCTAGTTCTCTAGCCCTTCCCCTTCTGTGCACAAATTCATAACAGAAATCACTTATAATGTTTATGCTTCACAATTTGCTGCTGTAGGTGTAGTCGAATTGCCATATTTGCTGTAAAAACAACACCTTCAAATTTGGTTTGAACTCATTCAGCCCTGAAATTTCATAATGGACTATTCCAACCTTTGAATTGGAAGAGTTGAAATGTGTCTTCAGGGGTGAATGAATTAAACATTTTTAACAGTTTATATATAATAATGATAATTATAATAATAATTTGGGGTTCTTATATACCGCTTTATCACAACCTAGTTTGAAGGTCGTCTCAAATTATTATCCTTGGTATAGGGCCTTTGCAACCAACCAACATCTTTCTCTACTCCCTGGTAAGCATACAGCCGGTGCTGCCATTTTAGCGCTCACAGCTAGCATTCTACAATTTTAGCACTGCCCAACCACATACTCATTTACAGCTGAGTAGACTGGAACAAGCAGAGTTAAGTATCTTGCTCAAAGACACATCACAGTGCCGTGCCGTGACTCGAACATGCAACCCTCTGGTCAAGAGCCCGGCGTCCTACAACTAGACTACCGAACCTCCTATTTTTATATCAAGGTCATATACAAGCAGTATGTGTACATCCTACCTTTAGATTCAGGAATATATCCATTGATGAGGAGAATGAACCAGGCCATAGCTAGACTAGCTCCCGTGTACAGTACCAACAGGAACAGACGCATGTGTTTGGTGTACACGTCGGCAAATCTGAAAATACCACAGGCAGATAACCTTAAATATAATATAACACAGCGTGAATATTTCTTACTACTTAATACTTCTACAGGCTCATAACCTCAAATCCCAAATTTAAATCGAGTGAACATTTTTTAACAATCACGTAAGTGTACCATTACAGGCTTATATGTCAAAATTAAAATGTTCTTATATTTTCTTGCCAATCAAGTAATACTACAGGCCTATTACCTCAAATCTCAAATTAAAAAGTGAATATTTTTTGCCAACCGACACCTATAGCCTCAAATCTCAAATTTTAAAGTGAATATTTTCTTACCAATCTAGTAATACTACAGGCCTATAGCCTCAAATCTCGAATGAAAAAGTGAATATTTTCTTGAATATATTGGTTGTCATGGGTCATAAATTAAAGCATCCAAGAAGACTTGTATAACAAAGTGATTATACATTCAGAACCCTTCAGATCCTTTCTTATGACAAAATGAATAAGAAAACAATCAAATGAGTTGAGGAGAAACTACCTTGATTCTATATTACAATTCAATTCCAGCACTAATTCATTATAATTGACAGTTGCACAAATTCAAACTAACTTGGCATTTGTGTTTGCATAGTACGAATGTTGACAAATATTTATCAGACTACAGTTTAAATTGGATTAAGTTATTATGGAGAAATCGTCACATTTTGGCTAATAAATTATACACAAATGTTGCTTACTTCAAGCTTATATTGCACATGCTTACAAAGTTTCATCAAATTTAAATATTTAAATAAATTTTTCTTGAACACAAAAAGAGGCCCAGAGGGCCTGTATCGCTCGTTTCTTTCGTTACATGAAACTGACATATAGGTAACTTCAGAAAAAAATTGATACCTAGAACCTTTAACAATTCTTAAGCTAAGTTGTTTGAAATTTTAAATTTTAAATTTAAAGCTTTTAATCCATGTTGATCTTTGACCTCCGACTAGCACTTAAAGTTTACTTTTGACCTCATTACTGTAATTAAAAAAAAGATTTGCACTGCTAGTCTACAAAGCATACCCAAGTATCATGACTCTAGTCCAAATGGTTCTTATCATATTTGACCCCTGTGACATTTTAATGAGGAAACTATAGCACTCCATCCCTGGGACCTACTGGCCATATATCATGACCCTGGGCCTTATGGATCTTGGTAAGAAGATTGTTAAGCTTTTAACCCATGTTGACCTTTGACCCCTGACTAGCACTTAAGTTGACCTTTGACCTTATTATTGTAATTGAGAAAAAGTTTCACACTGCTGGTGTTCATAATTCTGAAATTGTTGTTTGAATTGTTTAACATATTTGACCCTGTGACCTTGAAAGTAGGCTAAAGTCATTTTAATGAGGAAACTTTATAGCACTCCATCCAATCTACCTACTGGTCAAATGTTGTGACCCTAGGTCTTCCAGTTCTTCAAAAGAAGTCGTTCAAAAGAAAAAAGTTGACGGACGGACGACAGACGGATGGACAATGGACACTGCAGTACGGCATAATTAGCTCACATGGCCCGAAGGATGTATGAACAGACAGATTCTCACCTTACCATATTACTTCCTGTCAAAATTTGGACAAATGTTTGAAGACTTAAACACATCTTGTTGAAATCACAAAACAACAGAAAAAAAGGTCCTCACCTTCCAACAAAGAGACATGCTCCGGCTGCTGATACAGTAGAGTAAAACCCAATCCAACCAGCTTCATTCTGGAACATCATACATGTTGGCAGTTATAATATATCTTACTAGCTTCCTTCCGAAACATCATACATGGTGGCAGTTATAATATATCTAACCAACTTTCTTCCGAAACATCATACATGTTGGCAGTTACAATATATCTTACTAGCTTCGTTCCAAAACATCATACATGTTGGCAGTTATAATTTATCTTACTAGTTTCCTTCCGAAACATCATACATGTTGGTAGTTATAATATATCTAACCAACTTACTTCCGTAACATCATACATGTTGGCAGTTATACTATATCTTACTAGCTTCCTTCCAAAACATCATTCATGTTGGCAGTTATAATATATCTTGCCAGCTTCCGTCCGAAACATCATACATGTTGGCACTTATAATATATCTTACTAGCTTCCTTCCAAAACATCATTCATGTTGGCAGTTATAATATATCTTGCCAGCTTCCGTCCGAAACATCATACATGTTGGCACTTATAATATATCTTACTAGCTTCCTTCCGAAACATCATACATGGTGGCAGTTATAATATATCTAACCAACTTACTTCCGAAACATCATACTTGTTGGCAGTTATAATATATCTTACCATCTTCCGTCCGAAACATCATACATGTTGGCAGTTATACTATATCTTACTAGCTTCCTTCCAAAACATCATTCATGTTGGCAGTTATAATATATCTTGCCAGCTTCCGTCCGAAACATCATACATGTTGGTAGTTATAATATATCTAACCAACTTACTTCCGAAACATCATACTTGTTGGCAGTTATAATATATCTTACTAGCTTCCGTCCGAAACATCATACATGTTGGCAGTTATAATTTATCTTACTAGTTTCCTTCCGAAACATCATACATGTTGGCAGTTATAATTTATCTTACTAGTTTCCTTCCGAAACATCATACATGTTGCCAGTTATAATATATCTGACCAACTTACTTCCGAAACATCATACTTGTTGGCAGTTATAATATATCTTACTAGCTTCCCTCCAAAACATCATACATGTTGGCAGCTATAATATATCTTACCAGCTTCCGTACGCAACATCATACATGTTGGCAGTTATAATATATCTTGCCAGCTTCCGTCCGAAACATCATACATGTTGGCAGTTATAATATATCTTACCACATTACTTCCGAAACAGCATAAATATTGGCAGTTATCTTCCAGCCAGCTTCACTATAGAACATCACATATGTCGTCATAAAAATCAAACAAAGTAACTAACTCAATCACCCCTGAAGACACATTTGAACTCCTCCGATTCAAATGTTGGAATAGTTCATCATGAAATTTTAGGGGTGAATGAGTTAATCCACCCTATCACCACATAAATATTCTGCCCTACTACCGCTGCTAAGCATTTGTGATCACAAGATTGCAGCCGTGACTATAGTACAGAGAGGGAAGTCGTTCTAGTGGTACATGTACATGTACGTATCAGTATTAATCATTGACTCAGGCTACTAAAGTATTCTATTCAGTGACTGTGAAATTATACCATCATATATATATACTTAGGACCATCTGTTTATCATCCCTACCATCTTTCAGTCATATTAGTCAATTAAAACTTGATTGATTTTGAAAATAGCAGCCATATTGGATTTTTGTTCCAATTGAAAATGAACTTCCTAAAGATAATGTTAGTAACATTCTCATAAGTATGTATATATCAACGAAATCCCTTCAGTAGTATCTCAGTGTAAGTTGAAAGTGAAAAATGTTAATCCAAGACAAACGACAAAGAGGGATACCAATGGCGGATCCAGACACTTATCTGGGGGAGTTTCCGAATTTCCAAGGGGGTTTCCATGTGGGGAAAATTGCGGAAAATGGTGAAAATGCATGATTTTTTAACAAAAATTCTCAGAGTGGACGGGTTTCCTGAAGCCCAAAAACCCCCTCTGAATCCGCCACTGGATAACAGTATGCAACAAGCAGTCAGGCTAGGAATACACATTCAACTAGCAGTATACTGTTTGTATAAGATAAACTGTTTAGCTGGTTGACTGTTTTACCTCAGATATCCCATGTGGCTTGAGATTTACATCCAGGACACTCTGCCAGGCACTGAATATACCCAGGGATAATCCATAGGTTAAACATATGATCCAAAACTTAGAATTCCTAATAAAAATAGAATCAAAATTCAAAATCAAACACATTATCCTTCTCATATGAAAACACTGAAGTAATGAATACACCTGCATAGACTTAAATTTGTCAATATTGAATAGGAAGGATTATATAGTTGTACACCAGTCTGGGTGTAATTACCAGTTGTAATATTGAAAATACTATGTTATAAGATATATTGTTTAAATATCTTGGCCATTTCTTTGAAACAACACCTCATTCAATAAGCAGCCATAAGTAAGGTGTCATTTCCAGTAATATGGTTACACAACAAGAGCTGTCATCCCGAGGATAACTTATACATCATTAGGTGACCTTGACCTTGCAGGGGTTTCCAGACAAGTGATTTTGCATAAAGGACCATAATACCCTCAAAAAGTATTGAAGGCTGAAATTCAAATGCCAGTGCACAACTAAATAATATACTGATAACTCAAGTGCAGTTTCAATAACATCTGCCAGTTATTTAAGATGCAGTTTTCCACACAAGTTATTTCGCATATAGGGTAATAACTCCCTTTAAAAGTGTTGAAATCTGAAATTAAAATGCCGGTACACAACTAGCTGTACATGTACATAATACAATGATCATTCAAGTGAAGTTTCAAAAAATCTGCCTGTTAGTTTTCCGGACTGCGTTACTGCGGACGACAGACATCCAGACAGACGGACAGATCTAAAAGTACAGACATCCAGAGTGATTCCGGTATACCCCCCACCACCCCTAACATCGTTGCAGAGGGGTATAATAAGGCTTTTATTCTAGGTGAAATATTGAACAAATATATATGGGTGTGTATATTTCGAGATTATCATATGACCATTTTCATATCATTTTCCTTATCATCCCCAGACTCCCATATCAGCCAGAGGGGCCAGCGAGAAGGGCCAGAGGGGCTAGAGGTCAGAGGGCTGATATGGGTCGAGGGCTGATACGGCATAGGATATGGAAACAGACATAATTCATTGAGTACAGTAGGGAAGTAAAATCTTTCAACCCATGTTAATGTTTGACCACCTACTATCACTTAAAGTTGACCTTTGACCTCATTACTGTAATTAAGAAAAATATTTGCACTGCTGGTCTACATAACATTATTAAGTATCATGACTCTAGTCCAAATGGTTCTTGGGATATTGATGTTTGAATGTCTGAACATATTTGACCCCTGTGACCTTAAAAGTAGGTCAAGGTCATTTTAATGAGGACACTTTATAGCACTCCATCCCAGGTACCTACTGGCCAAATATCATGACCCTAGGTTCTCCAGTTCTCCAGAAGAAGTTGTTTAAAAGAAAAAGATGACGGATGGATGACAGACGTTCGACGGACGTCGCAGTACGGCATAAGCTCAAATGGCCTTTCAGGCCAGGTGAACTAATAAAAACGTTCTTGTATTTACTACACCATGCCTTTATTTGGCAATAAAAGGGCATAATGTTAACTCCACCAAAAATGCATGTTAACTTCTGAAATACAAACTATATTGGTGTGCAATATGTGTACCAAGTTTGAGTTCAATCAATCCAAGGGAACTCGCACGGAAACCTTATTTCGGACGATGCAAAAGACGACGACACCGTTGACAAAGTAATACCTTTATGTCGCCTGCAGGCGACACAAACAATTAAATAATTCCAGCAATGACAAACATGTTTCTGTATGTAGATGAATATGAGTGTATGCACTGGCAGAACTATTGTAATCCAACCTTGCAACTGTGAAGGATAACTCAATTAATACAACTTACTTGAGCAGTTTGATGAATCCAGTCTTAAACTTCATCCTTGCTATAGATGCTGTGGTACTGGGAGGTATCTTGGGTTTGGCAGGGAAATACAGCAGCACTAACAGGTATACAAAGGCTACAAATCCAAACTCTGTGTGTATAGAACAGAAAATAGTATCAAAATCTGTACCAACATGAAACTGTTTTCACCTTTTTAATTAATTTTGGTTTCTTCATAATCTGTACAGATGTAACTCACTGGTATAGTTACAGGTAGTGATGCATTATCTTAACTCTATAGCTTAGTACTACTGGTAATCTAGCTCTATAGCTAGGTACTTCTGGTAGTCTAACTCTATATCTAGGTACTACTGGTAGTCTAACTCTATAGCTTAGTCACTACCGCTAGTCTAACTCTATAGCTAGGTACTACTGGTAGTCTAACTCTATATCTAGGTACTACTGGTAGTCTAACTCTATAGCTTAGTCACTACCGCTAGTCTAACTCTATAGCTTAGTACTACCGGTAGTCTAACTCTACAGCTTAGTACTACTGGTAATCTAACTCTATAGCTTAGTACTACTGGTAGTCTAACTCTATAGCTTAGTACTACCGGTAGTCTAACTCTACAGCTTAGTACTACTGGTAATCTAACTCTATAGCTAGGTACTACTGGTAGTCTTACTCTACAGCTTAGTACTACTGGTAATCTAACTCTATAGCTTAGTACTACTGGTAATCTAACTCTATAGCTAGGTACTACTGGTAGTCTAACTCTATAACTTAGTACTACAGCTAGTCTAACTCTATAGCTTAGTACTACCGGTAGTCTTACTCTATAGCTTAGTACTACTGGTAGTCTAACTCTATAGCTTAGTACTACCGGTAGTCAAACTCTATAGCTTAGTACTACCGGTAGTCTTACTCTATAGCTTAGTACTACTGCTAGTCTAACTCTATAGCTTAGTACTACCGCTAGTCTTACTCTGCACCCCTGGAATATGTCATAGAAAAATAGAAGGCACAAAGATTGATGTTTGATTGGTCTCAAGTAAAAATACCTGACCAATCGCTAAGCTGATACCTGTCCTTTGAAGATAACAAAGTGGCAACAACCGGCTTCAAAGCCAGTCAAATTTTACCGTTACCCAACCGCAAGATTCTTTTAAAGTACATCAAAGTATCGAGCTAGTCTCCTCATCTCATCCACAAGGTGGTGCACACTGAGCCTTTCATTTTGCTGTGACATATTCCAGGGGTGTAGAGAGCGAAAGTGAGCATAACCCCTGGAGTGTCGAGGATGAATATTAATAGAATCTATCGCTACTGGTTGTGTAAGATAGAGAAATAGTGTGGGAGAAGTACATATAAGTCTTTACAACTTTTGTTTAGATTACATGTTATGATATTGAATTCAAAAAATATTGCAGGGTTACTACAAATAATTCTTCCTTAACAAATTTTTACTTCCATGAAATAATTTGCTAAATGTTAAGAACCAATTACCACATTAGGTAAAAAGGTTTACCAACGTAAACCTAGGTGGTAACTATGTTGGTTGGTTTGTGTTTTACGTCCTATTAACAGCTAAGTTTATTTAAGGACGTGCCAGGTTTTTGGTGGTGGAGGAAAGCCGGAGTTCCCTGGAGAACATTCACCGACATACGGTCAGTACTTGGCAATTGCCTCACGTTGGGTCTCGAACCCGCGACCCAGTGGTGGAGGGCTTAGTGTTAGCAGAAGGTTAGACGCCTTTACCACTGCGGCCCCCTAGGTGGTAATTAGACATCAAAGTGAGCCAGTACTTACCAACATAAAGTAGAAACATGATTTCTTTACGCTCCTTGTCGATCCTATCCACAACAACTGTATGATTTGATCCTAGGAAATCTGAAAATCTGAGAAAATATTGACCTATAAAAATCAGTCATGTATATAAATTTAATTACAATCAGTCCACACAGTAGTTTATATAGTATAGATATTGCATATTGCATGCTTTCATTTTCTGACAATTACTGTATAGTAATAATAATAATTATATACAATATTTGATATAGCGGCCTGTATCTAGCTAACATAAGTCATTTAAAAGCGCTTTACAGTACATAGATATACAATTAATACAATTAGCATATACAATAATCAAAACAATTTTGAGGAATATGCAAAAGCTGCCTTAATTATCAGGTGCTAACTACTAGTCCTATGCCACCTGGCTAATATCTCCCTATGTGTGTATGCCTGCGTGTGTGCTGGAGATGTAATGTGAAGTATTTTTTGAAAGGCACTTAAACAAAGCTTTCCTTTGCAATATTTGTATCACATTGTGAAAGTTGTTTCATTTAATCAAAATACAACTAAGCATTGTGGAAAAATAAAAATATTTTTCAACATAAATTCTAAACAGGAAGGAAACCTAATGAGTATTATGATCTTCAAACACAGCATATATTTTGATACACATAAAAAAGAAATACACAGCTGTAATTAATACTGTACAAAAACATTATCAAAGTGATCTATTCCTAGAATGCAATTTCAAGTTTGGCAGAATTTTGAAATTAATTTGTTTCGAACATTATAGTGCTATATCATAAATCTTAATGATTGAATTTCTCGGCACACGTGCACAGCAATAGTGAGTATACAAGATATTTATATATCACGTTTTTGTTAGTCTTAATGTAAATTAAATTTAAAATCCAATGATAGGAATAGTTGGTAATTTTTTTAAGATGCAAGATTTACAACCCTAGTTACAGGCATATATATAAATACCCAGCGTTGTTCTCTGTTGAGTTGGTAGGTGGCTTATCTGATACAAGGTATGGTCCTGCAAAAGAAACAAGAACACAATTAGTGTACATGTGCTGACATATAAATCACATTCTTGATTGTATAGCATTCAATTTGGCAATTAACAGTCTAGTGGAAGGACGCCAGGCTCGTGACCGAAGGGTTGCAGGTTCGAGTCACGTCACGACACTGTGTTGTATCAGGACTGAATCTAAGATTTTCATCTTGGACTATTGTACATCACTTTTATAAATGTTAAAGATGTTTAACAACAAATATTAACATATCTCCCTTCTTCAGCTTAGTAAACTCTAACTGCATATAAATTAGCACATATATGCAATGAAAAAAGGTTCACGCTTCAGCGAGATACTACTGTTCAATGGCACCGACTGTTTGGTTCCAATTTCAACATCTAGAAACATGGAACATGTTCGGGATCCATTTTATCTGATTATGTAATAAAGAGATGCTGGCAAATTTCTTTTTTCCATGGATGCACATTCAAAGTTCTTTAACGACAAAGTAAACAATGGTGGCTTCCGTTTTGTGATGTTCGACCGCGTCACTACCAGAGCAGCGCGCCAATGTGTGTACATAATCGCCGTTATATACGAATAAAGATGTTCCAAGTCCTACTAATATTACTTGATCAGAAATTTAAAAGCAATGAAAAGAGGAAAAATAGTGTTGTTCACTGTGAAATTTCTTAATTTACCCATACATGTATCCATGCAGATTAATTCACTGGAACTATATACAATTGTATTATCAAAGCAGCAGCGGCTACCTTAGTTACCATCATAGCAACCCGTTTTGACTTCTTTTCTTTAGTTTTGGATAGCATTAAAACATTATTTATGATGTTAATATAAGAATTGAGCTACTTTTGATGGTGTATGTACATGTACAGTAGTATATGAACTTGGTTGGTAACGAACATATTCTAGGGTGCGAATTAGCGCTCCATAAAGAACATGTTCGTTGCCAACTGTGCTCAAACTACTGTATACACCATCAAAATATAGATCCATTCTTATCTTTACATTATAATTAAATAATGTAAGCTTAGTAAATATTTTTTTTATAGAAAACATTCTCAGGCCACCATAATGAATCACACTGGGAGTACATAATGTATATCAAATGCCTCATCATGCATGTCATGAGGTTTGGTTTAATTCATCTACTAATCAATTCACTAAATCATAAATTTGCAAAGAAACTGTCTCATGAACATCGTTGATTCCTCTTTCTAATCACACGAACTTATCATAAATACATTCCTTACTGTCCCCTACCCCTGCCACAAATATTTTGATCCTCCAACTTCCGCCTCCCTCATTGCTAGCCTCTTACATTTGTACATATGATATGATACAGCCCCCTACTTCTAACTTGTACCTCACAATTAGTAACTGAGCTGTTCACTGCCCTTGCACACCCGATCACCACATGCCCAATATCTGTCCACTTACCTATGAGAAACGACACAGCCAGGAGTCCATAGTTGAAGATGAGGGTGATAGCAGTAGAGGTAGTTCTCTCATGAGTGGGAAACCAGGTCGAGGACAGAACAGGTGGTAGTCCCATGGCAACTGGGCCTGCTAGGCCATTCAAACACTGTCCTATATTGACTGTCCTGTAAACAATAATAATAATAACAATAATAATAATAATAATAATAACAATAATAATAACAATTTGAGGTTCTTTATACCTAGATCCTAGAAGCAAATGTGCATTCTTCTCTTTATACTCAGCAATTGTATGCCATGGTTATATGGTGAAGATCTCAACCATTTCCAAGTAATACACTTTTTTTGGCCCAACCCCTTAGCCCGGGGGGGCAACCCCACCATTTGTACAATTTTGAATCCCTGCCTCCCATAAATGCTTCCGACCAAATATGATCAATATCCATGGCATAGTTCTACAGAAGAAGTCGTTTATAGCAATATAGCCAAATTGCCCCTGTTTGGCCCCGCCCTCAGCCCCCTGGGGGTCAGCCCCACCATTTGTACAATTTTGAATCCCCACCATCTAGGAATGCCACCAGTCAAATATGGTTGATATCCATCTCTTAGTTCCAGAGAAGAAGTCGCTAAAAGCAATATAGCCTGTTGAAATAACCCTTTTTGGCCCCACCCCTCAGCCTCCTGGGGGGTCAGCCCCACCATTTGTACAATTTTGAATCACCACCACCTAGGTATGCTTCCAGTCAAATATGGTTGATATCCACTTCTTAGTTCCAGAGAAGTCGCTTAAAGCAATATAGCCAAATACCCTTTTCGCCCCCGCCCCTCAGCCCCCTGGGGGGTCAGCCCCACCATTTGTACAATTTTGAATCCATGCCTCCCAATAATGATTTTGATCAAATATGATTAATATCCAGTGCACAGTTCTACATTTGTTTAAGTATTTCCATTAAACATGTGTTTCTTTATTTATACCTCATATATACCAACTGTGAGTACCACCAATACACATCTGGTAAAGATACACTACACATTTTCTACTGCTGATGCTGGCGCTAACATCCGAGCCAACAAGAGTGATTTACATAAGTTGAAATAACTTGTTTCATAATTGTTGTAAAATAAATAAAGTTTATATTATTATACAGTTCTACAGAAGAAGTCATTTGAAGCAATATATCCAAATTGCCCCCCTTTGGCCCCGCCCCTCAGCCCCCTGGGGGTCAGCCTAACCAATTGTACAATTACGAATCTCCACCACCTAGGGATGCTTCCAGTAAAATATGGTTGATATCCATCTCTTGGTTCCAGAGAAGAAGTCGCTTAAAGCAATATAGCCAAATTGACCCCTTTTGGCCCTGCCCTGACAGCCCCCAATTGTACAATTACGAATCTCCACCACCTAGGGATGCTTCCAGTAAAATATGGTTGATATCCATCTCTTGGTTCCAGAGAAGAAGTCGCTTAAAGCAATATAGCCAAATTGACCCCTTTTGGCCCTGCCCTGACAGCCCCCAATTGTACAATTACGAATCTCCACCACCTAGGGATGCTTCCAGTAAAATATGGTTGATATCCATCTCTTGGTTCCAGAGAAGAAGTCGCTTAAAGCAATATAGCCAAATTGACCCCTTTTGGCCCTGCCCTGACAGCCCCCAATTGTACAATTACGAATCTCCACCACCTAGGGATGCTTCCAGTAAAATATGGTTGATATCCATCTCTTGGTTCCAGAGAAGAAGTCGCTTAAAGCAATATAGCCAAATTGACCCCTTTTGGCCCTGCCCTGACAGCCCCCACGGGGGTCAGCCCCACCATTTGTACAATTTTGAATCCCCACCACCTAGGGATGCTTCCAGTCAAATTTAGTTGAATTCCAATCAGTGGTAAAGAAGAAGTTGTTTAAAGAAATTGTTGACAGACGGACGGCGGACGCCACGGTCCAGGTGAGCTAATAATAAACAGGATCTCAATAGGCAGGGATCAAGTTTATAGAGATTTTATTGTAAAGGAATAGTAGTTTAATATTACAAGCCGATACTATTTGGTAAAATGAAAATCTTAATTAACTTGTCTAAACTATATTGCTGTATTTGTATTAATTTTATATTTTTGTATAGATGCGTATGTTCGTTAGCGAAACAAGTATCTATAAGTTTTAAATGTATACCAGGATTATTTGGTGACACATGATCATGCGTAAGGACCCTACATTTGATGTAGGGAGGTTCAATGGTAAAACAAACACAAAAGTACCTACCATTTGACGTAAGGGGGCTCACTAGTAATGCACCGGATGCCTGTTCCAGCTGTTATCAAAAATCCTGTTATCACCATTGCTGTACGCAACCCTTTAAAAGAACAATTAAGAACTCAATTTTCTTTTCAATAAAGCATTTCAGGAGAATTTTTTCCAGACTGAATTAATCTTCAGGCATCAAGAATAGCTGGACATTTATTTAAGTATTTCCATTAAACATGTGTTTCTTTATTTATAGTATACCTCATACCATCTGGTCAAGATACACTACACATTTACTATGGCTGATGCTGATATTTTTCTAAATAGGGTATATTTATATTTAAGGTAATAGGATTGTGTCACCATTTCTCAGTAAAATTTATTCAAATTTTGTAGTTATATTGCTTTGAAGTAAAGACAATTTTCTGCCACAAATTTTTTTTAGGGTTTCAGAATTTTAAGGATTTTAAATGGAAATTTATCTAAAAAGGAGTGAATTTAAAAATAAATAAATGAAAGACACAATTGTTTGCAAAATAATGTCAATAAAAATAATACTGCCATAGACTAGTATTGCATTAATGTATATCAATGTAATAAATGCTGAAATTGTGTAAAATAAATTATCTATAAACGATTAAAAATTGACATTTGATAATAAAACCATATACACATAGTAATTGCATGTAAGAGTTATTTGTCTTGGAAAACTTCACAGTAGTCAAATAGGTAGCCGGTTTCCTGAAGTACAGAAAAATGGACACATGCGACTCATTGATAAAAAACAACTGAATTAATGCCTGGATTGCTTTGAAATAGTTTAATATTGAGAGAACACACTGTTCTGTCAATAATAAACATACAATATTCATCAGTTTAATATTAAACATTAGAATATGCGGAAATTGTGATACTGTCTCCCTACATTGGATTTTCAACTAGGGATGTACTTCCTATTTCCGTTTATAAATACAATCCTATGACCTTAACAACTATGGGCGATTGCGATGGACATTTTATAAGGGTACACTACACACCTTTTGTGGGCGATTCCAGTACATATCAAATTACCATATACTAATTAAGTGATTTATGCTGATTTTGCTTTAATGGTCAGATCCTGTAATCGTGAAGAAAAGCATGATATCAGTAATAAAATAAACCAAGAGGCCCAGAGGGCCTGTATCGCTCACCTGAATATTTAAGCAGTCATAGCAAAATATTCTCATTAAATATTATCCTGTACTACAAATATTTCACTCGCAAACTTTGTCGGCTCCACCTGTTGAAACTACATCTCAGTATGCTCTGCTTTGAAAACTCTTCTCATATATTAACAACTTTTGGTAAAACTTTTCCATTTCCTGACAAATACAGGTATGGGGTTGCTGTGGAATGTGTTGAAGTAACAACCAGGCTGTGGTGACTATATATGCCTGACCATTATTCATGCATACCCTATCCTAGGTCTGTCAGCAACCGTTCCTATTACCAAAGCTAGTTTCGAATTCATCAACATTAATGTAAAGCAGATGTGGTTTATTTTCAATATCTGAATTGATTAAAAGTCAACACTTAAGAACGAAGATAACTCAAGTGCATAATGTAACTTAATATAGAAGTATATATACCCCATGTAACAATTTAATCAATAGAGTTTTTTAAAAAACACTTTTGACAAGTTCAAAATGTATCATTATAATATACTAGGTAGCTATATATAGATGTTGTAAATCCAGTTGTTGTACTGAAACTTTTACTTTGTTTCAGGTTCAAGTGTGATTTTGAAGACATATAGGAATTTGTCCATTTTCCCAAATAGTGCACTCATATTTGGTTTTTCCTAATTTCTGCATCTTCGCTAGCCAAGTGTTCGCTTAGTATACACTCCACTTACGAAGCGAACGCTAGCATAGATAAATTTCTGAAGAATTGTGAAGATACTTATGATGATGATGATGATAATGATGATGATACAATTGTATTATTGTTATGATACCATATAATTGTAAGAGTTCATGTGGGAGCGTGAGAGTATATGTTTGTGTACTGTAAATGCAAAAATATTTGAAAGATCTCTCTTGACAATACTCAATATGTAGGTGCATCAGATGGACCTCTTCCTCAACTGGCAATGCAACACCATGACAGGTTAATTGGCCTTTGAACAGACATTTTACTGTCATGTGGTTCAATCAATGATTATTGGCAACCTTTTTTAATGGATAAGGCCTTTTTAGCATATAGCATACCTCACTGGAGATTCCAGCCAAACATTTTTGTATTTCTTGTATTTGACTGTATGAGTTAAATAAAACTTTTTTTTTTGCATTTAAAGATGCATACATTTTCAGGGTTTGTGTACCATTAATATGCCTAAGATATAATCTGTGTGTAGTGGTGTAAATGAACTGGTTCCAGGGTCATGAAGTATATTCAGACATATATCATCAAAAATTCAAAAAAAAAATCAATTCTTACTGCATTATATGAAGTTATAAACATCATATCACATTTATAATTGTTTCTTAAATATGAAGAGTTCAAAGCTTACCAATACGTTGTAACTTTTCAAGTTATGAAATAGAGCAAAGCAAGTGTTCATGATTGGAAATTAATTACTTCAGAAACTTGTTATGCAAAGTAAAATCTCAAATGGTCGGTTTTTAGCTCGTCTATTAGAAGAATAGGGGGCTATAGCAGTACCCACGGCGTTGGCGTCTTACTTAATTGGTTAAAAAGGTTTTTTACGCAAGCTGTGTTTTGGTGTTTAACTCAACTTTTAACTAATTATACATTGTAACATTCATGGTTACAGCAATTGCTTTGAGGTTCCTTATTAGCAACAAATTGGACCATATATCCTCATTGTTGGTACAAAACACAAGTTTTTTGGAATTGGTTTAAGTTTTTGGGCAAGTTCTACAGGTTAAAGATTAGGGGCAAGTTCTAGTTCTTTTGAAGCTACTGCGCAGATTTCAAGCAAATTTGGCAGGAAGCACCCTTTAAGGGGAAGGGGATTCAAGATGGTACAAATGAATTCCCTGACCCCCCAGGGGACAGGTGGGCAGGGCCAAAGGGGTAAATTTGACATTTTGTCTTTAAACGATATTTCCTTCTATACGCCTGTGACCTTGAATGTCGAACAAAGACATTAGGTTGAACAGAGTTTATAGTCTTCCAACCCAGCATGCTTCTGGCCAAATATCATTACCCTGGACCTTTTGGTTATACAGAACAGCCATTTAGAGATTTAAACATATATTGACCACTGTGACCTTGAATATAGGCAAAGGTCATTCATTTGAACACACTTGGTAGTCCTTTATCCATGCATGTTAATGGCCAAATATCATCACCCTTGGCCTTTTGCTTATTGAGAAGTCGTTTAAAGGTTTTAAACCTATATGATCCTTGTGACCTTGAAAATCCCAGCATGTTACTGGCCAAATTTCATTATCCTAGGCCTCTTGGTTATTAAGAAGAAGTTGTATAAAGGTTTTAAACATATTTGATCCCTGTGACCTTGAATATAAGCCCTTCATCCCAGTTTGCTTCTGGCCAAATATCATCATCCTAGGCGTTTTGGTTATTTAGAAGAAGATGTTTAGAGTGAAATATTGCAACGGACGGACAGACGCTGCAGGACGGGACAGACGCTGCACCACGGTATAAAATGCAGATGTTCAAATAAAACCTTATAAACTAGAAGACCCAGAAGAACCATTTCTAAAACAATAGGAATTCCTTTATATGAAGGGGAGAAGGAATATTTTTTTATATATATAAATAAAGTTAGTATAATATCACATATCATTAAATTAGCTGGAAATAAAGATTCTAGTCTTCGTTACTGAATTGCATGAATACTCTAATCACTGCTCCAGACATTATCACCTTTAGAACGAAGTTTTTTAAATAAATACTTATCTAAAAAGCTATATAACAACTGTATATTGTATTGATTAACATATATGCTAATTGTATTAATTATATGTACTGTAAAGCACTTTAGAGAGGCTTATGTTAGCTAGATAGGGCACTATATCAAATGTTGTATATAAATTAATTGATTAACATATAGACTTTAGTCAATAAAGCTGGATTGCATAATGAGGCCTGAAAAAATATGCATGTTTCGGGTACCCTAGCTGACCAGCCTGAGGTTTAACCTCAGACCCAAACAATTTTATGTTACATTCTAATGCACTGAAATGCGCCGAAAATTGAAAGCATTCTTTATGACACCTCTCTATTTCATAGGCAGGAATCAAAACCAAATTTAAATCCCATATTACTATTTAAATTTAAAAGACCTAGAAATTAATTTTTAAAAAATTCAATTAGTCTGAATAACTATGTTTGTTGATTTTTGTAATTTTTTACCCTCAAATTATAAAAAAATAAAAAATAAAAAAAAAAAAAAAAATCCCTACCTTCATACTGTATTTTTTCCAGTCATATTACCTGAAACACACATGTGTTTTGGCCTTTAAATACAAAGTGATTATTTCACAGCTCTCACTGTAAATTCTGAGTATATAATGCCACTTATTATATTTAACTATATCAAACTTGGGGCTCTAAAAAAGTAAATGCACTTGAAATCAAATAAGCTTACAGCTACCAGGTAGCTGTAAGGTGAGATAAAATCTTCAAAGAAAAAACACAGGAATCACCTTTTACATCTATAATCCATGCAAAAATTGCTGACGACGCCAGGTATGAGATTGGTCCCCAATTAGACAGCAAAGCTATATCAGCGTCGTCCCACCCAAAGGCTTCTTCACTAGATGCAGCAATGGGTCCCCAGGTGTTCCATGCGCATCCCTGACACCCAGCCATGATGGAGTACACCAACAAAATATACCAACGGCGCTTGTACACTTGGGTCCTTATAGGAGGGATGCTGGAGTTGGTGCTGGCTCGAATTACTCCCACATACACCTGTAAGTTCAGAGAAAATTGTTTTTACATCTAAAAAAAAAAAGGTTTTGTATATATAACATATATAGTACTCTTTACCTTAAGATCTATTGCTGTGATATCTCTATGGCCGGTGCGCATATAGCGGACGTTGCTATAGCGAATTATTATGTGACATCATAGTTTATGACGTCATACTATGTACTTCAAATAAACAGTCTGAAGAATCTCCATGAAGAGATGAAAGCGCTATAAAGACGTGTTGTTAAGATTTTTTCTTTTCATATAGACTACATTGTATATAATATATATTTTGCAGTAGATCACATTGTTAAAGTTTCATGAAAAATAAATGGCAAAAAAGGGTTATCTCTTATTTCAAAAATTCTATATTTATTATCATTTATATGTATTAAAGAACCCAATATAGTTAGCTTAACCTGCCAAACATTTTGTTAGGAAATTCTAATAATTGCAATATCTTTTTTAATTGATGACACAAAGGAATGTATGTAGGTATTTAACTGGTTATTAGGGTAGCATGGACAAAAATTGAAAAGATGTCAGCTATACAATTTCTGAAAATCACACTTTGCTTTCATGCAAAATAAAATGGATTTTAAGTTTTTATCTATTATGATAACAATGTTAGCATCATGATCTTAACTCATTCACCCCTGGAATTTCATAATGAACTATTCCACACTTTGAATTGGAAGAATTCAAATGTGTCTTTAGGGGTGAATGGGTAATTACAGTTCATGGTAATTACTGTATCAGAGATATGTTTTCCGCTGCATGATGAATTAGCAAATACTGGTTATTTCCAATCATGTCAGAATAACAAACACAGGTATCTGAACAATTAACATTTCCACTTACACCTTGAGCTTCCTGAGTATTTGGAGCGAGTGTATATGGATCAGCAACCTCATATTCAGATTGGATATTACTGGAGTCTGCACTTTCTGGAAATATTCCATAACTGTCAGAGTCGTTTAACAGTTGTGCCTTTGGTGTTTCCATCATGGCAGGAAGGTAGCTGATATCTGTGAACAAAATATTTACAAGGTACAGTTCAGACTAGGGTTTCCAGTGTAGTCATTACCTGGTATATCTGGTACATTAACTCATTCACCCCTGAACTTTCATAATGAACTATTCCAACCTTTGCATTGGAAGAGTTCAAATGTGTCTTCAGGGGTGAATAAGTCACTAAAAATACAAAAAAGATGGAAAGATTTGTTTTTATAAAATGCATAGACCACAAGATCAAAGATTTAAATTCACAAATGTCCGTTGATCAAATGTTGCTGAGTAAATATTCCTCAGAGATTAAATTTGCAAATAAATTTCCTCGCAACCTTACATGACCAGATGGTACACAATTCTAACAAAAATATTGATTGGCAGCAGTTTGCCACAGATTTGAGAGACCTAACTTCCTGAGGCATTAATAACTGGAAATCAGTGAAGCTGATTTTTTTAATGACATGGACCAAGTATAAGAGGGGTTTCAAAAAGTAAGACCTGGGGATGCAAAAACATTTATAAATTCAATTTGATGCACAAATTTTTGGTTCTCATGCATCAATAATAATAACATACAGCATTTGATATAGCGCCTTATCTAGCTAAAATAATTAAGCCGCTCTAAAGCGCTTTACAGTACAAAGATATACAATTTATACAATTAACATATATACATTAATCAATACAATTTTTGAGGAACTTGCAGGAGCTGCCTTTTCAGGCGCTAACTACTAGTCCTATGCCACCTGGCTAATATCTCCCTATGTGTGTATGCCTGCGTGTGTGCTGGAGATGTAATGTGTTCTGTTTGTAGTGGGACCGTGCTTCCAACAACATTATTCGTAGCGCCACCTCACTTGAAATGCTACAGCACAGATACCACAACATCCACCCCAGACCAATGTATACTGCACCTGGAGGTTGGAGCTGTGCTTACTGCTATGTACCTGGATAGCAGATATGACGTTGGGATTCCTATAGTTGAGGTCTGGTTGTTCTATGAGATAATTGTGATAGTTAGTAGTTGTCTCTTATCACTCCACGTCCAGGCGGAATTGTTGGAGTTGTGTGTATGGGCATTTAGAGAAAACACTTTCTCTGAATATCTATGCGACTTGGGGGTCGAACCCCGGCCGCCTGAGTGTTAACCACTCCACCAATCCGTCCACGCTTCATATTTGGAGAGATGACTTTTATGTGTTACAGTGCCTTATTAAGCTCTTTACAATGTCATTCATCAGTTACACTATTACTGAATGAATATATATTTCTTATTCTCTGTTTTGGTTTTGATAATATTGTAATTCTAATGTTTTATCAATAAAATATTTTGAATTGAAAATACTGAACGGATACTAACTAATAACAAAAATCAATTAAACGGGTCAATAAATTGTCCTAGGAACTTTTTTATATATAATTGTTGTATATTATCATTATTATATGTGCATGAACAAGTAACATCAACCAGTAGCAGTCAAGCGCTTAGGTTACAGAAGTCTTCATCAGGCAGGACTGGTCCTGTTGACTTCAAATGATCAGGTGCCTCAATTGACAAGCCAGCATCTGTCCAAAGTTCAGTGGTCTTGGGTTCAGATACCAGTGTAGCAGAGCTGGACTGGGTCGATCATGCATGACCAGGTAGCTCAAAAGGTAGAGTGTCCGCTACAGTTTGGAGGGTCCCGAGTTTGGAGGGTCCCGAGTTTGAACGTCGGTCTGGCCGTTGCATTTGTCTTTCTCCTGTTATACCAGTACAGCTCTGCTGTCTTTTCTCTCTATTTTAGTGGCGCAATGTGACCAACCCTTACTCTCAAGTTCATGTAATAGAGTTCTCTGGCAAGAGGATATACCCAACCTTTGATTGTTACTTATAAATAAAGTTGTCTTCATGAGTTAATACTAAAAAAAAGAACAGTGTAACTAGGCCAGGTGATCAAAACTACTATAGTGAATGTAGCTCTATTACATTATTTGGTTTATAGCATCAGTCAAAAGTTCCGAGGTCATAGGTTTGTATTCCAGTCTGGCCTTTAGAGTATAATATAGTGAATGCAGGGGTCGACACTTAACACTGGTCAACTAGTCCTGGACTAGTAGATTTCAGCAAGGACTTGTGAATCACCTTACCTGACTGGTCCTTTGGACTTGCAAAAAATATGATTATAAAATAAGAATATTCCTTTTTGAAATTTAGAAAACAGCTTAAAATAAGTTATATTACATGATAATTGTCAAAATTTTCCTAAAACTTCACCATATTTTTATATACATGTATTAATTATGGCAGAAGTTATATTAAGTCCCCTATAGCCACCAGTCGATTAATTTTGATGTTTCGTGCTGTAGATTGTGATATTTCCTTATCAGTAAATCATGTGCATTGATTAGGTTGTCTTACAAGTGTCAGCTGTAGGGAATTTCCCTTTAGCTCTGTAGTAGAGCTTCGGGCTGGAGAGCCAAGATTCGCGGATTCGAGCCCCAGCAACAGCATTATCTTTATCGCTATTCCTCATCACTACAAACAGGTGCTGTTAACCCTCCCTGTTCAAGGTAAGATAACCCTTGGCATGGAATCAAAGAACCTGGGTTGGTGTTTGAAAAAAGGGGGGATTATTGTAATAAATGTGCATTGATTAGAGGTTGCCTTACAAGTGTCAGCTGTAGAGAATTTCCCTTTAGGTCAGCGTTAGAGCATCAGGCTGGAGAACCAAATAAAGGATCGCAGGTTCGAGCCCAAGTGAGGGCACTATATCTTTATCACTATATAATTCCTCATCCTTCTACAGTTACATTTGTGGCAGGTTTAATTGAACATGGGATTAAAGTCGCCTTCTAGCTTCGAGCTAGAGGGAATTTCCCTTTAGCTCGCAGTGGTAGAGTGTCCGACTAGGACCTTGGGGATTGAGGGTTCGATCCCCAGTGGAAGCACACTATTCTCTTTCCTGCTACAAATGGTGTGATCTGTGGCCCTTCCTGTGGTGACAGGGAGTACGTTAGAACCTGGCCATGTGTTGTGGTGTTCGAGGGCAAACACATTAAAAAAGGGTGGAGTAGTGTGGCAGTTTTTAATTGTACATAGGATTAAGGTCGCCTTCTAGCTTCGAGCTAGAGGGAATTAAGCTCAGTGGTAGAGCGTCCGACTAGAAACCTGGAGATCAAGGGTCGATCCTTGGTGGAATCACACTATATTCTCTTTCCTGTTACACATTGACGAAGGACTAGTGAATAATCTATTCAACTAGCCCTGTGGACTACCAAGCTAACAAAGTTGTATTGTTTAACCCTGTGACAGGACTAGGTCACATTTAGTCATTGTCCTACTTTATTCTTGGTGGATAGATAAATCGGATACTGGCTTATTAAAGCCCACAGTCATCCAATGACTTTAAACACATTTTATAAACCAGAATTGGAAAAAAAGGATTTGGCACAAGTTATTAGTTTACAACTTATGAAGCCAAACAGGTGATGATATCCAATACATATCAGGTCATAATCAAAAACGAATAGAACTTCGATCATATTGTCCATGTGAAGATTACATGTATTATATCTAACATCTACATCTAGTAGTAATGACCACCTTCATCTATTTGAAGATCATGTCATCACATGTGATACATAGTATAAGCTAATGGAGCCGTACTGTGTCTCTCAGACGAGCAATTAGACCCGATTTTCCTCACCGATGAACCGGATATAAATATACTATACATATATACAGTGTATTCAATGTACAATCAAAGGCAAAGTGTATCACATACTACAAACACTGACTGTACATGCACATCAGTCAATGTGGTGTACGTAATATTACCTGCAATAAATGCAATTTACAGTACGTGCATGGGCGAGACCTGCATCCAGCTCAATGTCAGAATCAACAACCACCGCTACTCCATCAAGCAGAACAAACCCTGTGGCAATTAAGGCATTTTAATATGCCTAGCCACAGTTGGAAAGACATGCAGGTTGTTGCCATAGATCATTGCCCTACATGGGATGAAACGAGACGATGTACGAGAGAACGGTTTTGGATCACCAATCTACAAACCCGCTACTCTCGAGGTATGAACGAACGATAGGCGGTTGCCATCCACTCGTTTTCCCTCCAGGGGGCATTTGACCTAATGATGCATTACTGCACAGTTGGTCTGCTATCTCGCCTTGCCTGCTGGTTCATGTCAGTGTGTGTGACCAACAGCTGTTGTCAGATTAATTTAGCAGATTCATACAGTATCTTAGCCATTTCATCTACTTATATTCCTCCTGCACTCACTTATTTGATAATTACATGCATTATTCCTGCAAACCAAAAGAGGCGACTAAGTGTGAACCTCCTGCTGTGACTGTTAGATCCACCACAGAATTGAAAGGCGACTAATGAGACATTCCATAGCAAATTGAGATTTTTCACATTTACCCGGCCAGATTTCCACATGCTATCTCATTTTTGATATCTCTCGTTGACTCACTTTATGTGATAGTGCATCTTGCGCAAGAATAGGTCCTCTACATCAGCATTCCTTGTCCGTGATGCTCTCAGCTTAATTCCTACCCTTCGTCTGTCTTTAGCCGAGGGGACTATTGGTTTTATATAATAGCTATATGTAACAGAGCGCATGATTAATTAAATATAAATCACTGCCTCCGCTAGGGATCGACCCCGGGACCTCTGGCTTACTAGTCTTAGTTCAACCGATCGAGCTAAAGAGAAGTTCTCTATAGCCGAGCGATATATTGCGGCTAGTATTTACCAGGGTTACATACTCCCCTTCTAGGAAAGAACTCATCCTCGAGTTTTCTAGGGGTAACAGCGATGCTTGTGGAGCAAGGTCGAGTATTTTTCCCGGGTCCCTACGTGGGCGCCAATGTAACAGAGCGCATGATTAATGAAATTTAAATCACTGCCTCTGCTAGGGATCGAACCCGGGACCTCTGGCATACTAGTCTTACGCTCAACCGATCGAGCTAAAGAGAAGTTCTCTATAGCCGAGCGATATATTGCGGGTAGTATTTACCAGGGTTACATATATTTTCAATTATAGTATATCCAGGTCGGGGAAAAACACTAATTTGCGTATAATACGCAAATTCACCTATTATTCGCCAATAGGGGTATGGATTTGTTACTAAAAATAGCCAAATTCACTTGAATCATAACTTTTTCAAATCGTTTGTCCATGTCGCATTTATGCAGTCATTAAACATAATACAAATGCAAAAATAAACTTTATTTACATGTCGGAAAGTACCAAAAATAGATGCAATTCTTACGGTAAAGTTACATCAAGTTTCTAAGTAGCCAACGCTTTCAGTAAACATTTTTTAGCAAAATATTATTTACCTTGTCGTAAATTAATGCGATTTTTAATATCGTCTTGCAAAAGTTACTGTAAAAGCGATTTGGGTTATTTTTAGTAACAAATCCATACTCCAACTGGCGTACAATAGGCGAGATACGCAAGTTGCGGTTTTCCCTTATAAGCTGATATCAGTTCTATCTTCTTGTAATATGATGTATATGTAACTGTTCTGTTTCACTGTGTCTTGAAAAAGGAGCGGATCGCTCCGAAAATTTGACAACCTAAACTTGTCCACAATGGAATTACTTCTTTGCCCCATAGATGTTTTATAGGCGTTTTCCAAAATTTTGGGGTTTGTTCCAGCGCAAACTCTGGCTAGCTAGCATAATTTTTATATTAGTCATGACAGTAAATGAATCATGAGTTATGGCTTTTAGTGTCCAATTATCGAGCTATAGATTATTACATTACAAAGAAAGCCCAATCCCATAGCAAACTTACTCTGTCTGCATGTGACTTTGTGGTGCACCTGACTTTGTTGTTGTTCATCAATTAATCGGAACACCTCGCATATTTTTAAAATTTATAGAGAGGTCTGAATGTATGAACAGTATAATTTCAGATCCGAATGGTGTTTATTTATTTATTTATTTCAGGAAAGATTTCATAAAAGTTCGTGTACGTGATTCTAAGCTATGAAATCGCGGACTTATAGACTCGGGCAATTTTCCTGCACTGATAATGCGTTGCGTTTTCTTTTCGTTTGCGTTGAAACAGACAAGTGTCTGTAGCAATTACATGATTAATCTCTACACAGAGTTGTCGTTCCTGAAACTAGGGTGAGCGTGCTCGTGTACCCAAATGGGAACATGACAGTACCCAAAATGAGATGGAACACTTTTAATATATGGTGCAGCATTTTTTTCTGTTTTGGAATAAAACTGAATGATATGTATGCCCAATCAATATTACTATATTTTTATGCATTTTGAGTAAATTTCATCTGCCCATCTCGATCTTAACTTGACATTGCTCATAAATTGAATTGAAATAGAAGAAAAAAATAGTGAGTGTAAAACGACAACTCTGTGTAGATTCTTTCAATTTTGAGGATCTTTGCCGCTCTTAGTATTTTACATGAAATTTTGTTGCAGAAGTATCGGTGAAAAATCATATAATAAATACCGGACGGTAATTACCGGACACCACGCCAATAAAGTATAATCTATAATCTATATATTGAAACACCAACTTGGGACAGGTTCAGCTTAGGCAAAACATGGAAAGCCGTAATTGATTTATGACGTCATATATTGATTCCAACATGCATGGGCCGGACTTATTACACCATTGAGTTAACACTTTATAACCCTTCCACATTCAGGGCCCGTATTCATGGAACCGTTCTAGCATGCTCAAGCACAGATCATGTGCTCAAGCTTTGTTTCTTGTTCCGGTTAAAACTTAATAATAAAAATCTTAATTTGTCAATGATTCTGAAAAAAAAAAAAACACCGAATACTGTTTTCAATGTTTACATTTGACTTTTTGACCGTTTAACACGATTTAAGTGGGTTACAATTTAAGAAAGTTGATTTGAGCACAAAATCCATTCTTGAGCACGAGAACGGGTTCATGAACTCGGGCCCATGCCATTCATTTACGGAATGAATGAGCCGATTATTGATGTCATCATTATTATGACGTCATATATAATTGATACGCTGAATACCATTCATGCACTGTATACTGGCCCTCTCATTCGGCAAACCTCGGCCGATTCCGGTACCTTTCATCTAGATGGAGATCTGCCGAGGTGTGCCGAATGCTGGCCCTGGCTGTTCTATTCATGGAACAAACATCTACGATAAATAAACTATTCGAACAAAATGCTGAATAATAATAGAAAAAATAAATGTTTACTAACAAACAACTTACAAAAATGATGATATATTTTAAGTATTGAACTGTTCGAAATGAGCTTTGTCAGTTTGGTATGAATAATATATTCGGGGGGGGGGGGGGGGGGGGGGGCCCCGTCGAGTTTTGGTCGAGATAGGCTTTGAAGTTGGGCAACGAAGGATTAAAACGAATCTCATCAGGAATATTATTCCAAAAGAGAAATAGCTGATGGTAGGAAAGACTTAAGATAAAACTCTGTAGTGTATCTGACACCTAGCTGTAAGATCGTTACTATGCCTAGTGCTGTAGTTATGCATTTCAGACATGCTAGGAGGTAAAAGCTTGGGAAAATATTCAGGAGTAAGACGATGAAACATTTAGAAAAGTTGTGTCAATTTATATTTTCTCCTTATTTCACTTCCATTTATTTAGGTTTATAAGTTGTATAGCACCACATACTATTCGCGCTGCCTCCTGGGTAATTTTCTCAAACGTATTTACATATTCAATAGTTAGATTGTCACAGACGACATCAGCGTATTCCAAAACAGGTCTTATAAAAGTAAAGTATAGTATTTGTAATTTTTGTTTTATCAGGGGTAAACCGTATTTTCCGTAGAAATATTTAGTTTAATCGTCACCTTGTTGATTAATAGAATCACCCCCTGCCTCGAGGGTGCGACAGAGAAATCCCCAACCCGAGGAATGATGTTTTTTGGTTGTCTAACCTGAGGTTCTGCCGAGGGTTAAACAACCAAAAAGTCCCCCTCAGTGTTGGAGATTTCTCTGTTACACCCTCAAGGTAGGGGATGGCTATTTTTCTCCCATCCTATTATTTCAGTCACAGCTCCACCCACGACAGTAGTCTGCCATGTTTGTAAACAAAAACACATGTTGAGTATGAATATCCTCATTCACTTTTGATGACGTCACAATTATCGGTGACACGTTTTAATGACGTCACAATTGAACACGTGCTAATCGGCAGGAGGCTATCACCCGCTAGGGGGTGTCAAGCTGATCTTTTCCGGCAAAAACGGAAGACACACCTACGAAGGGTGGGAGAAAATGTCATCAAACTACAATCTTCATACAGCGTGTGTGTCTAGGATAAGGACTACAGATATACCATTCAGAATACCTATACATATACTTATTTGCATCAATTAATATTCTGTATTTATCATACAACGTACGCGTGTCAAACTATAAGAGAGTAATCTTTGATATTCCTGATAACTCAGAATAATCAAAGAAAATAATACAGCAAATCAGGATATTTTTGTGTCACTATTATTTACAGCCGTTGGTCACTTGGATATTTAGAGACTTGAATGAACGAAATGATTATTTATTTATTTCATCTCCCCTGGATGGAAAATAGCTCACCTGTCCTGGTGCTTATAGGTGTATATTTTGGGAGTTCATAAATACACGGACTTACATAGCATCTAATTCCGTGATCAATGACTTGTGTTTAGGTTTTCGAATGTATTTATCGGTATTTAGGGGGAGTGTGTATTTGTCTGTTGCCTAGGTATACGTATACGTATGGCGCGGGTTATTTTCTGATACTCAGGTTTGAGGGTGGAAATAACTATAGTAATTGTGTTTAGGATTGCGGGTGTGCATTCGATCGTCTGCCATTGAAGTTGAGAGCTTGTATCTGTCTGATGCTTAGGTTTTTGAACGTATACTTGTTTCTTCCTACATGTAGTTTTAAGGTATGTATTTGTTCCGTGCTGAGGAACTTTGAATTTGTATATGCACACATTCCCGCGGGATGTATTGACGAGGTCAGTATTTATTTACAAACAATCGAAGTCCACATACATACATCCAACACAATCAGATAACCCATCCGACCAGATAGACGAGTAACCCGGACATCAGATGGACACGGTGTGATAATGACACCTAGATGACTAGTTTTTTGTAAACCTGCACATAACACACACCTTCAGATTATTAGACAGGTAAGTACTGACAGAGCAGCGTTTAATGGTAATAATTCCGTGCTAGTTATAGTCGATATATTCATGTAGTGTCACACTTTTCCGATTAGATAATAATGCATATCAGATCAAAGTTGACTGTAAAAGAGTTGTCTGCCCTTTGGTCAACTTCGTCACGTTTCGCCTATGCATTACCGGCTCTTAAAGTCAGATTGTTAAGCAGTCCTTGATATATTGACTTGGTATCGTTTATTACTCCCGATTGCAGTTAACTGTGTTTATTTCGAATTGAACGAATGTGTTTGCATTTACATCAGGATCAGCTACACGTCGTAAAATTGTAAGTAAAGCCATCCGATCGAGTGGTTTTGCCAAAGAAAAGGCGGCGTTTGGTGAGAGGGTAGCCCAACAATTTATTATATTTAGAAACTGTGAACAAGCCAATCACTTAATACCTTTGGAATGACATCATTGGAAATCACAACTATTCAGCCAATCAGGTTGGAGATAGATATATCTAAAAATAAATCCGTAATTTCCTCGTTTTCTTTAGTTGAACGGCAACTGGTGCTGGGTGAAAATCATAGCCAAGAAAAAATTCCAGTCTAACAATTTTATTGGCACTTGACATATCACATTTTAAATCACAGTTTACATATTACAACCGTTCCTTTCCGGCGAAATAAAAAAAATACACACTTAGCAATTAACAATTAATGTATAACACTATTTGTAGATAAAAATTAAAAATAATAATAAAAAAACAAATGAACACATCACATCAGAGATCTCTTTTAGGTTTTGACACAAGAGGACAGATTGTTAAGAAATAAAAAGCACAATTTGTAGATAAATCAATGTATTAGAAAAAAATACTTGCAACATTTAACAAAAACAAATAATACAGTGTAAAATCTCTTACAATTTACAATGTGCTTTCAACAACTTGATTTATACATATATGTATTGCCATGGAATGTTACTTCATATATGCAGGTCAGGTATTACTTCATAAAAAAATAAATAGCATTATATTTCATAAAGAAATAACATGTGCTATAAACAAAGCAAACACATACCCTCACACATATGTAACTAGTAAGTTTTCTTAACTTTCTGTCACGTTAAATACAGGATTACCAACAACAAATCTTTTTCAGCTTTTCTGTTCCGTGTATATGTTATGACTTACCACAACTAATTTTATTATGATCTGCACCACCACAACATGAACATTTCAGTGTCTTTGATTTTTGCCTTTGTGAATTTTCCAAGATTGAGATTCTATTTTGTTTTTCCATGATCTGGCGCAATGCTAGTTGAGGTTTATGACAGCTGCCTCGAAAGTATTGTTTTGTGATGGTGTCATTTAATTTTTCCAGTCCTTGTTGGGTAAACGAAGAAATATCTCCATGACGCCTGATTAATTCATGTGCATGACATCGAAGAATGTGAATGTAAGGTGTGATGTCCCGGGACTGAAAGGCTTCAACATACAGCAAACACCACTCTTTTGTCCGTTCTTCTAATTCATCAGCATCAGGAGTTTCAGATTTCATAATTTTCTCAATTTGAGAAAAACCATCCCATACTTTCTGCAAAATTTCTGCTCGTCCATCATCTGAAATGAGATCATTTGCACAGAATGATTTCATCAGTTTCAGTTTTTCTGGGCCAATAAGATCTCTGTACTCAAGGCGCTTTGTATCCCGGTTTACAGAGAGCGAGAAATGTATTCCCAATTGTTCCAAAACAGTTTCTAATTTTGCGACATGTTGAACTTTACTTCTGTCAATCACTCCTGTGTTGAAGGTAGTGTTTCCATTTATGTTATCAAGTGTTCTGAGCTCTGCTATAAGCAGATTGAAAAGTTTGTCTGTAATTCTTAGAAACATGTGCAAAGGGTCCACCACAACCCTCAGTGGACCAATATGTGGGAACAGTGGGGGATTAACTACAGAAAATGCTTTTTTACTAATTTTTTTGCGAGCTTTCAGACAACCGTCAGGGCATTCATACAGAGACCTAGCACCCTTGGTTACATCCTCCATTGACCATTCTAAATCTAATTTACATTTTTCAGACTTACTGCACTTGCAATACACACAGAAATATTCTGAAGCTATACAAGGTATTCCCACTGCAACCAAGAGAAACTTATAATCTCCACCAAGGAGTATTTCAATAGTAAAATCCCTTCCATCAACAGTGATAGATGAATCCTGTAATTCCCCAACTTCCTGTCGTAAATCTCTAAGTCCATCAGCAAGCTCACTGTAAGCTTCCTTCGAATTCATCACACAAAGAGGGTAGTTTCCACTGGCAGCTCTGCATCTCTTCTCATTGATCACTGTGAATGACACATTTACAACGTGCAGACGTTTACCAACATTTGTACCATCTCCTGATAACTTGATTTTGATTTTTCCATCAGGTGCAAATTTATTATCTTCTGCAGTTAATGAATTCAAAACTTGCAAAAGTTTAGTTTTCAAGGACTGTTGGACTCCGAGGCCATTGGGAGTATCCACAATCTTAAATCCAGTATTTAGCTTATTCACATATTCCTGTAACACATGACGCCTTGGTAATTCTTTACAATACATACTAAGTTCGGCATATGCCTCTCTGCTGATATTGAAAGTGTCTAAAATATAAAGCAATGCACTCAACTCATCAGAGTTTTCCTCCATGTCTTGCTTCTCTTTACTTTCTCTGAGCACCAACACTTCTTTCTTGCCATTTTCCCTCTCAACCGATACAGACAAAGGTTTTATATTTTCTTTATCCAAGAATTTCAATGACTTTTTCACTGTTTCTCTCTCCACCTTCCTTCTTTTGGACTGACCAGACTTTGTAAGCTCAGAAAATTTCCGACCAAGTGGCTTTGAACATTCTGGTATGTTATTGTTTTTTACATTAAGTAAGATAGTTTCTGTTAATTTTTTATTTTCTTCTTGACATTTTAGCAACATTTCTTTATGTTCTTTAAGCACATTTTCACATTCATGTCTATCTACCGGAGCTTGCCATTCAAATGCAGACGAGGAAAGTTCAGAAAGAAATTTCCTGAATTGGAATCCACCTAGTTTACGTTGTTTTTTTGCTTTGTCTTTCAGCTTAAAAATTAAAGACTTCAAATTTTTCAAATCACTTTCAGATGGATTCACTTTTACAAAAATTTTGTCTTCAATTTTTCTAATGACCTGGCGAACAAAGTAATCATTCATAGGTTTGTCTCGAAACTGATCATTATCAATTATTTCAAACAGAATCTTTTTTGAAAACAAAACCATTTCAAATACAGTTTGTAATCCTACATGTACCTAGGATAAAAGGAAGTTGTAAATGAACATCATAACTGAATACCACTGACTGAAGTGTTCAATGTCCAAAAAACACACAATAGGTTACCTAGAAGTGTTGTTGAATCAATTGAATTTTCAAATTGAATCATTGTTTAACAGATTCTGAAACATATTTTTGTTGCCTGGTTTCTTCACAAATGAAAAAGTTAGTTGGCTACCACGGTTCATATAATCTTCTTCCACATGGTCCGGGAACAATAAAAAATCTTTCAATGCTTTCCTTTGCCCTAACCAGTACCTGATGGTGGATGTATCGATGAAAAACGAGTCACCTTGCTCATTTAAAATCCTATAGTCAAAACCGACTCCCAGTAGCCGTTCGAGGTCTTGTCTTTTTGCTATCCGATACACCTTACGTGTTCTCGTCGCTTTGTGGAGTGTTCCACAACATTCCAATGGTATGAATTCCTCTGAAGTCATATACTGGTGCAAAATAATCTTGCTGTCACTTCGTCCTGGTGAAAGGGATTCTTTTATATTGATTTTTAAGCTTTGGATCTGTGTAGAATGATGTAGAGGTGTTGATTTTACTGCACTTTTTTTTATGTATTCATCGTATCGATGATGCCATCCTGGAAAAAAAAAGAGCAAGCAAATAGTTAAGACCAACAAATAGGGTATTTAGGGTCTGCTATAGATAATGTAGATCTACATTATACACAAAGTGTTTAAAAACTTCAAATTATAAAATAACACAAATTGACCTACCAACCATACATTTATTGTATTTGTAAACATATATTTTTGGCTTAATAGTAATAAAACTAGTACATAGAACTTATCACACACATGGGGTGGGGTGGGGTGTGGTGGGCGAGGCGGGTCGGCTGTACTGTGTGCTTCAGTAGTCAGTATGCTATATGGATATATATAGCTATGTATTTGTACATCCTGTACATGTTCTGCTTTTAAAAACAGTGAACTTGAGATTGAATGACAAATTATACAAACTCATATTGCATATGAAATTACATGACAAGTCATGTATCTATATATGTGTAACAGTGTATCTATGTGAAAACTCAGCAATTTTATATTTATATAACATCCATAAAACAAAGGTGTGTCCACTGCCTGTCCAGACTGCAGACAGACAGATGAATGGACACCATGGAATTATTGCTGTTGGTCCCTTCCATTTTCAAGTGGGGCCCTTATTATTATAGAATATTAAACATTCCTATTGGTTTTTAACTCAAGGATGTTATTTATTAAGTTATTTCTATATAAACCAGGAATTTGAACTTTTTAATTTAAATTTTAAAGCTGGCTGATCAAAAGCATTTCTGAACAAAATCTGAAATCTACAGAAAACCAATTCTAATATTTATTCAAATACTTTAATATATTAGCAAAGAAAATCCTGTGAGCAATTGGTCATTTACTGTTTAGAGCATTTTTTTTTCAAAAACAAGAGGACCTTTTCATTTCATGTAAAATTAAAAGAAAATTGAAATATAGGCACTATATTATATATATACATATTTTTATCATTTGCATCGCTTTATTCTGTGTGGCCTTGAGCTTAAACTTTTCATTTTAAAAAAGACACATGTACATATTACACATGCATGGTAATGTATATATACAATTAAGTTTGTCAACATTCTAGTGACTATAATTTACCTATGTAGTGAACCTTTACCATATCCTTATACTTGTCATCATCAACAACCTCAATCGGATAAAACCCTGCTGTCCAGCTACGTCTTCTGTTACTACTTGACGTGATGGACGTGTTCGGTGGATTGGCAAGGTCACTGCAAAAAAAAGTTTTACATATAAATGTAATTTCTCAGCCTACCAGTAGTTTGGTTTCAACAAATTCTATTTCTAGCCAAGTCTTTTCCAGGTTGCACAGCATCAGATACATATGTAACCGGTTATATACGTCTCTGACAACATGATGTGCATTTGTACAATATTGATTATTATATTTTAGTAATTAAGCTAATTTAATTTTGTTAAATTACTCATGTACATACATCAGTAAGGAGTACATGTACCATGATATTATCATTTTTTATTTGTTTTTAAGATTGTTTTATCTGCACAGCATATGAATCTATAATGATGCACATCATCTATTAGCAGAGTTCTCTGGCCCCTACGTATACACCAGACTCAGACAATTTGACAGATACCTGGGGTGGACATCTTTTAGCTATCTGTCAAAATGTTTAGGTCTGGTCAGGCTAACTGTGTATGTCATCTATGTTTGTAAAGATAAGATCATGATTATTTATTTTAAAGTAGGACTTTATTATAGGTCCCCGAGTAGGAAAAAGCTATATCCTGCACTCCTAGTATCTTCCTGCACTCCCGGATCCAGAACTTATACCAGTATTAAATTCTTAGCTCGAGGCATTAATATATGAACATTGACAACTGAAGAAAAAGATGCCAATGTGAGTTTCTGTCAGTCCATTTCAATTATGGAATTTTAAATATCGTACACTGTTAAAGTGTTTAGACGGTCTCATATCAAAATCAAAGTAATGAACCCAGGAATCACAAGAATTCATTTGTTGCCATGTATCATTTTAATTAACTCAAGAGCATGTATATATATCATTATATGTCATTAGCTTTGTGCCGTTTGTAAAGAAATCATCCAAAAGTATTATTACACAACTGTCACCTCCTAGAACACCTAATTGTGACAACTGCACTCAAATTGAAAGAAGATGAATTCTGCTCTATCTCTCTTAGTCGTATATTACCGGTAGCAAAATTGCCCGGACACCGGCTTCACTTCACTCGATGGAAATGTAATCCATATTAATAGTGATTAACATGAAATATTGCCACTCAGTAACGTATATTTTGTGAACTGATATAATAACTTACTTACGCATAGGAAGACATCTGATTTCTGTCCTTTGAAACTATCTTTTTTGGACGAAGTTTAAGCGCAGCCGGTTCCTTCTCAGCATTCGTCGCCATTTTGATGGAAACTTTTACAGGGGAGATAACTCTATGTTACAGTCAATTTTGATCTGATATGGTGTTTACATTGCGAGGTCTTATAGGTTCACACATGTGTAATGGTTACTACATAGTGCGTTATTTATCTGGATAAACAGTAGAACTACATTGAACTAAAGTTGATATCTAAATATGTACATTATACATATAATTATAAATAATTTACAAAGCAAACGGTGTACATTTAATTGTTACTTCTTGTTAAAACTCAAATTCAACATGTGCACGTGTTATCGCCCTACAGGAAATTTAAGAAACCTTTCATAATCTATATGTAAGTGTTATATATACACGCATTTCTGTGTTACTATGTCAAATTTAATATTCATATAAGGTTTCATTATTTCTAAATTGAAAAAAACACTTCTGGAAAGGTGACGCGTGTGGTGGTGATTTTCCATAACTATCTAGGAGAATAGGACCAGATGTTCCGGAAGGGTAAGCGTTATCGACGAAACTGGCATAAAAGTTTAGGTAAAATCCGAGAATTTCACACTCTCAAAGTGAGAACTGAGGTAGTGGAAACGAAGCAACAAGGCATATTAATTACCATTATTAGAAATATCGAAATATCGAAATATCGAAATCAATAATATTGGCCTCATATGAAAACAAAACAAGTCGGCCAAATATTAGGAGCACAGTTTTGTTCCTATAGGAATTCCAAGTCTGCCTGAATATTTTGTCATCGAACGCGACAAAGAAATTGTTAATCAGGAATCATTTCATCATTTCATTTTCTGTATATGTCATATTTGCCTTTTACTTGGTTTTCACAAAATATGCTAAATAACAGCTCACAGCCATATTTTATATCACCGTTATTCTTCGATGGAAAAGAACGTGTTAATTGTATGTGAACAAAGGAGTTATTTAAGTTTGCATAAGGTACAAACAGCGGAGACGTAAAATATTCGGAAAGAAGAAACATTTTTGAAAAGAGTGATTAATTAAAAGATCTTTTAAACTTTTCCAAGTCTTCCTTTTAAAAATTCAACTCCCAAATTGAGTTATTTATTTTTAAATCACATCTTGAAAATGCCTTTAGCTGACACAGGAGCGCTTCTTGATTTCAAGTTTTTCCTGGAGGGGAGCATTCCTCCGGACCAACATAGAAGGGCACCTCAAGCCTTCAGTCTAGAAATGCATACAGACATCACATACAACAAATCCTGCTGAATGCCTTCTTTTAAACTTACCACAACCGTCACTACACAATGGCCGGCCTTTTTATCCAGGGATATTTATGATCATTGCTGAGCAAGACACCACCTCTAAACTTTCGGCACTTCCTCGGTTACTATGTCTGGGAGTGATATTCCGTCTTTGCGTATTGCAGAATTATCTTCGCTTGGGATCAGGTATTGATTATTACGTCATTGGTTGTGTGAGAAAATTACGTCGTTTTCTCAAAAATTGATGACGTTACTCTCACAAACAAGTGACGTGACAATCAATACCTGCTCCCAAGAGAAGATAACTCCGCAATACACAAAGACGGAATAGTGTATCTCAAAAGAACACATTACAAGCAATCTGAAAAGTTAAATCGATTTTTTTTTATCTCAATTACTTTTTCCATTTAAGGTTTCTGTATCATATCTACTATTATATTATACAACTTTACTTGTAGGCATAACACCTTAAGTCGTTTAATGGAAGTCCCTTGAGCATCTACCGCAAGCAAGGTCTAATAATATTCTGATGAGCTACCCAACCGGAAAACTGATCGCAATGATATTGATATTAATCATATACTGATCAGCTATAGTGCACTGAAGGTAGTTAAATAATTAACGTTCTTCGAACAACATGGAAACGCCGACGAAGAGACTCCTAGACAACGCCGATTCTTACGGAACCTTTCCGGAATATTCTGTTGACGTCGACTCAGTAGGTCATGTGATCAATCAGGATGGAACTGACAGCCCCCATCTGCCTAATGTGAATGCAGAGGTACTTAAAAGTTCTGTGACAATTCACTATTTTTTACGTTCCCGTCTTCTTAATGCATATGGTTTCCGCTTTCAATGCGCTTATCTGCGCCTTGGAATATGTAATGACAAAATCGAAGGCATGCGGTTGTATTCGGCGATTAAACACTTACCGTCTCTAGGTGATACCTGCCATTTGATGATTAACAGAGTAGCGACATCCGACTTCAAAGCCGGTTAATTTTACTGATATGCTGCCGCTCGATTCTTTTGGTGTACATCTAAGCATCATGTGATACTATCCGTCTAATTAGCGCCTTTTACTTTGTCTGGATACATCCCATGGGTGTAAAATACGACATTTGATATTGAGGGCGGGACGCTTGCATTTGAAGATGATTAAACTTATATTGATTAATGTACTAATTGCATTACTATTGTATCAATTGTATATCAATGTTCTGCAAAGCTCTTTAGATTGGCTTATTGTAGCTAGATGGGGCGTTATATCAAATGTTGTATTTTTGTATTGTTATTTTGATAACGTAACAATTTGGTGATGTGTATACATGCATGTTGAATAATAGAACTTTGCATCATGAACGATTCAATACCACTATCACACACCCTACAGATACATAGAGGATTTGTGTACTCTTTACCCGAACATAAGTGTCCGATCAGTTCTGATTACTTAGATCATCTGCCCGATTTCTTTCTGTTCCTGTTGTATAGTTTTGAGATGTTGGTGAGTAGAAAGGCTGTTGTTTAAGTACAGTCCAGTATGTTATGTTTCTTATAAGTCGTTTATGTGGAGCTTTACCGAAAGCCATTATAAAGGCATGATAACTAGCTTACATTGTTCCACGTATGTCAAGTACGTTTTATCCCTTTTTCAAGAACTCCTGTCCATTCCTCCATTGCTGTTATTCAATTCAAGTTAAAGCTTACTTATTAACTAATTCCATATACATTCATGTTTTCTTCATACTCGATAAGAATGACCAAGATTTATCATTATTTCTTTTTCGATTCTCCATATATATTTCAAAATAGTTCGTTATGTTTGATTCCTATAGCTGTGATGTCAATGTAGTCGGTTGCAGTATATGCACATGATTGAAAAACTCTTATGGCATTTGCTTCATCTGTGCCATCATGAGCAACCCATATTTGTTCTCTGTCTTTGATATACAATTCTGGGATTCCTGTTTTTGTTTTGATTTTGAACCTTGCATACAAAAATGAAACCTCGTTGACTTTGGTTATCTCTGTGACGATGTATAACTATTTCCAGATAACTGTAGGGGTGAGGACACACGTTTACAAGAGGCGGTGGTACGTATTGGTAGTCTTCAGCCTGGTTGCCGCTATCCAGGGCGGCTATTGGAATACATGGGGGCCCATAGCAGCGTCCACAGAGGAGGCGTTCGGCTGGGATGACGCCGACATCGCCCTGCTCAGCAACTGGGGACCAATAGCATACCTTATATCGGCAGTATTCTTTGGCTGGTTGATCGACGTCAAAGGTAATCCTGAACCATTGGTAGATTGTTAACTAGAATATCTTTTTTACCAACTGCCAAAAATAAGATTTATCCTACCGCTCATAGCCATATCCCAAGTCTCTTATACATCACTTTTTGTTCGATACATCCAGGTATTCGGTTGTCTGTGTTGATTGCTATATTCCTGGTGGCAGTAGGTGCCGGCTTCAGGTGTATCACCAGTGAACCACCATACGTCAAATGGTATGTACAGAACCTTTTACTTTCAGATGGCTCCGTATGTCACATTTGTAGGGACATGCTTTTCCAATAAACTCCGGTATGGTGAAATTGATAGGTGCTGCCTATTCAGGTAAAGGTAAAGAATATACCTCGTGCATTCCACCGCATGTTCATATGTAGGGTATTCCTTATGCTGGGCTGCCTTAAGGTCTTCTGTGTCTGTTGGGGACAATGAATAAACTAAAATTGATCTGCTTTACCAACATTGACTCAATATCTACCGTTTTCATACCGTTTGAACCTTGATTGATCTTATTGTGCAACTTCATCGCCAACGAAACTAAGAATTGCAAGTAAACATAGATTACTTTAACCTCAATCTTCCAACTATAAAACTTTTTCTTTGGATTTTAAAAATGGCATGATCTGTAAAAGGTCGTTCCTTATTTTCGCTATTGATATAATATTTTGGATAAAAGCAGCTTTTTGAATCAGCAAGTACTTATTCTGAGTTTTCTACTCAACAGACGTCGAAGCAATGTAACAGTTTTCATTATCATTTTCCAAATGCGATATTTCAGTGTCCACAATAAGTTTAAAAAGATATTCAATGTGTCCTAGCTCGTTGGTGACCTGCATATTCCTGGCTATTATCAAAGACATGTGCAGTCAAGAAAGGTTATAATTAAAGCGCCTCACAAATCACCTCCAGGTTTTTAATCCGGAGTATATGATGTCTTTTTCATATCCTTTGATGTCATCTAGACTATAAGTAAGGATTTTGCCCCCGTATGTTGACGATTTTTAACCTGTTTTGATCAATAGTCAACGTTTCATTGTTATTCAAGATGAAACATTTAGCTATTCTATTTTGCCAATCGCAAGAAAGGAAATTGCAACATATACCATGTTACACATACTGGCGTTTCTAAATAAGAAGAAATGTTCTTATAAATCAAACCCATACTTATGACGTTAGTTACATATTTACAGGACGGTGCACACAGGTCAACTTTTGAATGGCCTAGGAGGTCCAGTCGCCATGGGATTGCCGCCAGTATTATCTGCCACGTGGTTCCCGCCGCACGAAAGAACAACTGCGACAGCCATTTCCCAAATTCTGAATGGTTTGGGGGTTGGTGTGTCATTTATTATAGGTATGACCAAAAGCCTAATTTTAACCTAACAAAACACAAAATTACTGAAAGTACTTCGGAAAAAGTAATGTATCCAATATTTGAAAGAAACATGTATATACTTAATAATTAACTGGGTCGACAATTTTTTGTATTATGCTAAACAGTGCTAATATAAAGGACGGTATATCTTTAAGCATCATTATTAGTTCGATATATTGAAAACTTCTTAAAAACACCTTTTTCATAAGATGTTTTAAGAAATAAACACCGAGACCATCATCTAGATATGATAATGGACGCCCAATATAATTATGTTTTAATAGCATTAATCATTTTTGAAAAGGGCCATACCTTGTACCAGACAAACCACCCGACAACTCAAACTCATCTCTCCAAAATATCAGGCAAGTATTCGCACGAGAGCTTTGATTTTGAGAAAATATATTAATATTTCACTCTGGATAAGAAATTTACAATTATGTCATTTTTTTTTTTAAATTGAAGTAATCATTAGTTTCTGTTTTTCTTACACAGCTATTCCACCACTACCGGACCAAACACAACTGACGTATCTGCCCGCATCTCAAATGAACGAAGTGAAATCATGTTTCTCTTGTACATAGGTAGATACCTGTTTTACCCTTTTGGCTAAATATAAGAAATGGCGAATGCTTATATATAGGATCTGACAAGAGTTTTCTTTCATATTAAATTGATGAAACGAGTCTAATGGGTTTTTTTCAATTTAGCAAGCTTCAATAAATTTCATATGAAATGATAATGAGTGTAAGATCCTTTTTATCACAAAATCAAGATTTGTGGCAGTTATTCGTGTAAAACGCCAATTGTCATGCAACCTTGAAATGTAAAAAGCCGCCCTTTGACTCCAGTGCGTAAGTCTGTGACGTCATGTACTTGTCCTAGGCGTGACGTCACAAATGAAACTTACAACCAATCACAAGGCTGATAGGTCATATGGCATTGGTTAATACGCAAACAAATATGACATGGGGATATTCACTGGATAACACGTACATTACATTTTGTAATAAAAATGAATAAGTCATTGAATCGGTTATACATGTTACCGCAATGTGGACATAACACCCAATCAATCAAACCTAATAAAAATGCAATAAATTATGGTAAAATTCCCCATATTAAAATGCAGACTGTTAAATAAATATTTCGTCTCAAATCGGACATATGAACGGTATGTTTTAAACAACATTATGCTGCTGATGTTTTCGTGTCTCTCAGTAGCTGTGTAACATGAATTTTGTAGAGTTTGGATTCGCAGCGTTGATATTTCTCCTGACACTTGTGTACTTTCCTGATAAACCGACTTTGCCTCCCAGTACCACGGCATCCATAGAGAGATTAGAGTTTAAGAAGGGTCTTCTACAGTTAGTCAGGTGATTATATAATTACATTACATCTCCAGCACACACGCAGGCATACACACATAGGGAAAAATTAGCCAGGTGTCATAGGACTAGTAGTTAGTTCCTCAAAATTGTAGCGATTGATGTATATGCTAATTGTATTAATTGTATATATATGTACTGTAAAGCGCTTTAGAGTGGTTTATAATAACTAGATAGGGCGCTATATCAAATGTTGTATATTATTATAAGTAATCTTATCCGCCAGACACGTCTTGTGGTATACCTGAAACACATTTGGTTTTATTTGACAAACATTGATACACGCATTATGGTTATGATTAATAAAGGAATGGAATACGAACATGTATGTGTCCGATAAGATGCTGCTGTTTTAGCACGGAGGACAACATGACTGGTAATTCATTCACAAGGAAATGCAATACAACATATGAGCTAAGATGGTCGAATGTAAATGTTTCTACACTTTAAACAGGAATTTTAAATTCTGGATGGTGTGTCTGACCTACGGTGTGTCCCTCGGCGTTTTCAACTGTTGGCAAAGTGTCCTCGATGTGAACCTTAAACCACACGGAATATCTGAGGTAACGTGATGTGTTACCCTTCAAAGTACTCATACATAGTAGCGCAATTACATCAGAATAAAGATATTATATATTGTTTTACTTAATTCTCCGTTTCATCTGCTTTTTCTCTGACGGGTCGTTGAAATTCGTGAAAACGTTGTTGTTGTTTTTTATGTCTTAATATCTACTCCCTTAATTCTATATATGGTGTGTCCATTGTGACGTCATAATATTCTTTAGATATCTTTTAGCAAACATTTTATGTATACATGCATACGAAGATACGTCCTTTACACCATTTAATCAACTAAAATAAATAAAACACTAAAATATAAATGTTTTCGTCTATTCACATTGTATTAATTGTATTATTGTCTTTAGATGAATACAATCGTTTATAGCTATAGATATTTTTCAGAATGAAGCAGGATGGCTGGGGTTTTACTCTACGTTAGCAGCATCATTCACGTGTATCACTGTAGCAAGGTAGGTGTTAACATTTGTTGTTTTAAGTAAAGTTTTGGTATATGTTATATATCTGAATAAAAGAAATGTTTAAAGATTTGTATGACTTTACGATATGTTCAAGCAGGGAAATGGCCAGTTAGGATTTTTTTGACGCATTTCTACGACAGGAAGGTCATGAAATCCCTTAACTTTATGCAATTAGAGGATACTAATTAATAATGAATTAATAATTAATAATGTGTGCATATTATGAAACGTGTCACTACTCAAAAGAGACAATTTAAATAAATGAAAACATAAAAGAAATGCTCCTACCAGAGTTTTGCTGTTTGCTGGTCTGGTTATTACAGGTATCTTCCTTTTATTTAGCCTGTTTGGCGCTAGCCGTCAAATCTTGTTTTGGACTATATTAGTTGCAATGCTGCACCTACAACACAGATGATGTGTATTAGAGTCCTTTTAACGCGATTGACATACCGATGCAGTTACAATGTGAAAAGTCACATTTTGTGAATGTTACGAGTTCAACATTATAATGACAAAGTCCTTGACCTGCAGAGTCAAATTTTAATAGACTATTTCAATTACAGTACTTCTACAACACGTTGATAACTAACACGAACCGCTAGAACATATTATTTGTGTGTGCGTATTGTGACGTATCAAGTTGTTTTGTAAGATTAATTTGGTTTACGTTCAACAAATTACAAACCTTACAATTTCTACTCCTTTAATGTTTCCATTTTGGCTGAAAAAGGAATAAGTGAACAGAAAAAAAATGACGCATTTTATGTCCCCGTTGACATTTTTTTGATTGAATTATGAATAATATTAGGAAATCATCTTACAAATGAAACCATTTGAACTAATAAAACGTCCATGCGATATCTTGTTGTTTATTAAACATACTGATTAATCTCAAACACCATTTTTTATGATCTCTGACAAGAGTAACTTCTCCAGTGAAAATTTATATTAGCCTTCATCGATATCTTCTCGGCAGGTTTTCTGATATATTCTCAAAGCACATGCGCCTGTTCCTGGTAATCCTCTATATCGGTGGCGCTCTCGCTATGGCCTGGTTTGCTGTCCTCGTCAACGGCTACATACCAAACTCCACAAGTATGTGTTCTGCAGATACATATTTCACAGAAGATACGTCGGGAAATTTAATCGTTATAGCTCGAATCATATCATATACGTAGAATACACATCCAAACCCATTCTTCTGATAATTATTTTGTTCCGATTTTGATATGATTCTATTGTTGTTCTAATTAAGTATATATATATTCAAACGTATTGTATTCAAAATTAAACTAAACATTGTTTTATGCAACATCTTGATTTCATTGAAATCAGTTATTGTGAAGACAATGTTACATCTCCAGCACCCACGCATGTATACACACATAAGGAGATATTAACCAGGTGACATAGTACTAGTAGTTAGTGCCTGAAAATTGAATTGGTTAATGTGTATGCTAATTGTATTAATTGCATATCTATGTATTGTAAAGCGCTTAAACGTTGCTTATGTTAGCTAGATAGAGCACGATATCAAATGTAGTAAATCATTACATATTAAGCGATGCGAATGTTTCAGCAAGTAGTAGAGTATCAGTTCAAAAAGTACGATTTTATGCGTGATGTTTTTTTATTGGGTATGGTTGTGTACATATTATTACATGTATGAACAAACGCACAAAGTATAACGCACATATAATAGCATGCATGTTGTCAAAGAACCATTTTTTATCCTCGATATTGAAATTGTATTTAATGCTTACACTAAACATGGATTTTTTTTCAAGCGTCCCTATACATATCAATCATCCTTGGGACACTTCTTCTAAACGCTACGCCTCCTCTTTACTACGAGATGGCGTGCGAAATCACCTACCCTGTGGCTGAGGGCATTTCAAACCTCTGGTTGACCATGATAAACAATGTCGGCGGACTAATATTCCTTTTGATACAGATGATTCCCAATATAGGTAAGATTATCTATACAACAAAACAATATACATGTATCTATAGATCAAGGTGCCTCAATTATGAAATTTGCTAAAATTAAACTAAAAGATACATGTGCAACTCAAAAATACATTGCTAGAAGTAAAAGGGAAAGCTACCTGTTTCAAAGAGAATGGGCCAAATGGCATTTTATTTTATACACCCAAACCCTGCAATAAGTACATATTCTTAATTTTCTTGGCTTCTTTCATCAACATTTCCATTTTCATTTGTTGCAATCGTGTTCGTATATTTTCCTTTCGATAACGCATACCATGTACGAAATGAAGTACAAAGCAGCTTGTGTCTGTATTACACAGGTACAACCTGGGAGAACTGGTGTGTTCTAGGGGCGGTGGTGATCTGCATTCCGGTACTGTGTACAATGGACGAACGCTACAACAGGCTGGAAGTGGACGAGCAGTCAAACAAAAAATAAAACTCTCCAAAACTTATACTGTTATGATATCGACCATTTAAGGGCCCAAAATGTATCATCGTACATCAACTATTATGTCAATTGGGAGCACTTAACATGTACTGTAATTATTAAAATTGTATGTATCGATGTTTACACAGTCAGTAATAAGGCAGTATGACTGATGTCTTCATAAGGTAATAGCTTACCGGTATTAATAACATGTATGTATCTTTAAGTGACCTAACAGATCCAAAATCTCATATTATCTAAAGTTCATATACATATACCTATGGCATACGCGACTAATACTTTCTACTGGATGTGGAGAGTCATACTGGCTTTAAAGGGCCTCATTCATTTTAGCACATCTATTGACAAAATTGGTAAATTGTCAAGGGATCTGGCAACAGGTACAGTATATGTAAGCCCTCTCCATATAAATGCCAAGGGCCTGTGACCGTGATGAATAAGTAACATTTAGCGTTGTTGTTTTTCCTTTTTACAGCGAGACATTCATATAGGATTCTAACTTCCTGTTTTTAAATATGGATGTGACATAAGGATATGAACGATTCCATCCTTGATAATTAAAGTGTCCTTTAGTAATATTTAGTGTTGATATTTAAACATGTTTGTAACTACCTTAAAAAAAAGGATATGTCATAAGGGTGAGGACTATTCAATCTTCGATAATTATTATTGAACTTTACATCACAGAGTGTTTTTTCGTGACATTTACATGTATTTTTGCTATTAACAAGCGAGACTTCCATATATGATATCAAAAAGTTGCTAACTGCTTTCAAAACAGGATATGACATATTGGTTAGAAAAAATCAATACCTGAGCTTCCGGTTTGACCATGCATTCCTTGATAATTGAACTTTATAAAACAAAGTGTCTTTCGGTAACATTTAGTATTGCTAATGAAAAGAGCAAAACATGTCATAAACATTATAGCACTTTCCAGTAGCAATGTTTATAACATGTTTCAAACATTTATATTGAAACACAACGTTATGAAATGGTACACCATTATAGTTCACTACGTGTAAGCCTTGGTTTTCCTATTCACAATCTGTTAAATAAATTACCGGGGCATTTTACTTTGATTTTTGTGGTTTCGCCATCCTCGATATCCAGGGGTTACGCTCACTTTTGCTCTCTGCATCCCTTGAATATGTCAAAAATAGCAAAAATTAAAGGTTCAGTGTGCACAACCTTGTGGGCGAGACGAGGAGACTAGTTTAGTCCTTTGAAAAACATCAAAATAATCTCGCGGTCGCGTAACGGTAAATCTTACGTGACCACGAGATTCTTTTGATGTCCATCAAAGGATCGAAATATTCTTCTTATCTCATCAACAAGGCGGCGCCCACTGAGCCTTCAGTTTTTGCTATGAAATATTCCAGGGGTGTAGAGAGCGAAAGTGAGCGTAACCCCTGGATATCGAGAATGAGTATAGGGTGAGTTTACCACCTTTTGAAGTGCTTGCTGTACCGGAATTAGGGTAATGGTTGCGTGTCTGGGTTAAAACAACTGAACAATTAAAACATGTCACCATCATCTGAACGTGTATCAAGTACCGCATTCCCTTCAAGGTGTATTCCGTCTTTGCGTATTGCAGAGTTATCTTCTCTAGGGAGCAGGTATTGATTGTTACGTCATTGGTTTGTGTGAGAAAAATTACGTCGTTTTCTCAAAAAATGATGACGTTACTCTCACAAACAAGTGACGTAACAATCAATACCTGCTCCCAAGAGAAGATAACTCTGCAATACGCAAAGACGGAATACTGTCTGGTCGAAGTCATTGAACGGCTAGAATTATTTAGTAAATTCGTGCAAAACATATATATACAACTGTGAAATTCGATACAAGGGAGGTTACTTGTATTGTTTCGCACACTTTCGATTTATTATTTGTATATGTCAACAGTCACACTAGATTAAAGCTCTAAGGCTTGGTTCATCATCAGGAATGTCACATTCATATATGTGTATTATAACAGGAAATCGCCACTTTATCAAGGATCGAATGGTCCTCACACTTATGTCACGTTGGTTTAAGCAATGAATGTTTTCGCAAATGTTGTTATGGTCCTATAACTCACATTGCTATTGATTTCAATCTTAATAAAGCCCGGTAGGATTTTATGTAAGTTTGTCAGCAATAGAAATGTGTGTTATAGGACCATAACAATATTTGCTAAACTATTCATCATTTATATTCATATTGTGATAGAGTAGTTATGCTATATTCATTTATTTCGAGCAGTGTTCGAACAGCAAATCAAGTGTTGACAACAATGAAATTGATGGCGTTACAATAGCAAATGTTGTTATAGTCTCATAACAACATTTGCCTTCGCAATACATTACAATGGAACAATGCAGGACAATGTGTCTTACCCTTATGTCGCATACATGCATGTATATGATAACAGGACGTTGCTCATTTAAACTTTTCAAATATGGTTGCGACGTAAGAGTGAGTACCATCCAATCCCCGAGGAAAGCTAAGTGGATCTAAAGTAACTGTTGAAATAGATTTTATTACATTCCCTGTAGAACATTGTTGATTAACTATAAGAATTATTTCTGTTCAATTCCGCACATCAAACAATACCTGTTATATAGCTTGTATCTACTAACCGCATTGATACTTAAATGAACTATATGTATTTCAAATCTTGCTACCCATTTAAATTAGTGTTCTTATAACGTTTTTAACTTTTTAATCAAATGCTTAGATACAAGATAATAGATCAAATTCTCATTTAAAGTAACAATTCAAAACTGTGTATGTTGTCCTTATTCATCTTTTATCTTCACGAAGCTATGATAACTTAATGAGTCACAATGTGTGAGCTCTGGGCCCAGTTCTTCAAAAGATGGTTAGCTTAATCACTGTTTAACGACATTTTTCAACCTTTAATAATTTCGCAGTATAACAGGTAAAATCTCACAATCTTTCATGTAAAATCACCCCACTAAATTTTTGATATCTGTAAAGTTGTATCTATTTCAATAGCTGTGTTTTAAAGATACACAAAAGTGAAAATTTACACTAATCACTGATTAAGCTAATCACCTTTTGAACAACTGGACCCAAGGTATATGACTTATGTCCTCGATGAAAAAGAATCTTTTGAATTATTTCACAATCAATATATTATAAAAGTACATTGGCCATACCAGGAGAGGGCTTGTATAGGCATTACGCCTGTTGGCCAGTTCCTTTGGATTTTGTTTAAGATGTAATATTCAATAAACATCTTTGTGAAATGAAATTTGAAAAAAAAACGAAGCTATCATATTCTTGAGGTTATTTTTTTTTTAATGGGACATTGTATACCTCGGTTATAAAATGAATGCCATCAGTTTGTATGTTTCGACATTTAAGTATTATGACCTACGTAATGTATTGTTAATCTGGTCGCTTCTTATTATGGATCAAAGTGTTAAAATTTAAAAAAAAAAACGAATGAGTTCCAACAAGATAGCTAGAAATGTAAATATTATTGTTATGAGTACATTTTAACTAACCTTAAGAACATAAACGATTTATTCGATTTTTTAAGTACAATATTGTCTTATTTTAATCTTTAAACATTCAACTGTGTAATTTTGTAATCATTTCTTACACTGTAACCTAGAGATACAAATGTCCTTTAAGACCATGATTCAATCTGTCACAGTTGTATCCCTCGGCTCGCGTAAACTGTTTGTGCTGGCCATACATTTTGCCACCGACCTGTTATAAACTATTTCCTGAAGGTTCTCACCCTATTTTGAGCCGAGTGTAAGACAACCAAAAAAATCACCATTTCTGTGTTACACCCTCAAGGTAGGGGAAGATTCTATTAGTCATTATAAAAATAGTTCACAAGCTTGTCAGTTTCTTTTCCGATCCAACTGAACGATACGAAATGATATATGTATATATTATCTATAGTAAATCTATATGCGTAAGTCACGCGTAGTGTATTTTTTTCTTTAACTATAGGAGTGGAGTGGCACACCGTACTGAAAGCAGGTGGATGTTGCAATGCGAGACCAATAAAATCGTAATAAAAATCTACAGTCAAACGTTAAACAGATGATGCATAAGAAAACGAAGTTAATATAATCTAGATATATTGATAAATAAACTTCGAAGATGTGTCATTTCATAACATTTTATGGTGTCACAAATCAGCTAGATATGTTATGAACGTAATCAAAGAAGCGTGTTATAATGTTTGTAACATGACTAACACTTTTAAAACATCACTCAATGGTAATAAAATGGGTGCTTTATATAGTTGAGTTTTAGCATGATCACAAGAAGCTTGGTTAAACTTTTTTTTACCAGTAAAATATGTTAATATTAGTTTGGTTGTTACAAAATGCCATACCATCTAACTATGAATCCGGTTCATGTATGCCTCTCTTCTACTAGTTAATGAGAATTAGTCTCTGAATGTCTAACATAAAAATGATTTTTAGCAAAAAAAACATATATTATAATTCCGGTGAATTTGTTTGAGGACATCGGCTTTCAAGGATTTGGAGGTTTTTTGGGTTTTTTTTAATTTTTGTAAAAAATTGCAAAATCTGTAACGCAGTTCAATAAATAACGAATCGTCCATCAAGGACTCTGACGTATTACATGCATTTAGGTAAAGGCTATCAAAAGGGGCCGCTCCTTACTGATTAGAATTTTAATGAGCTTACTGGTCACGTGGTACCTCAAGTGCTGCACCTCGCATATACTTCATATATTTTTCAATGACATGACAATATGATTCCCTGACAATTTATGCTGAAGACAGGACGACGAAAAAACTCTATAAAAGACAACGGAGGAAGATTCATATATTCTGTTATAATACCGACAAGCTATTTTTGTTTTTATAAATACATCACCATATTGCTTTATTACAGACTAAGTTAATTAATGTTGCTATTGTAGTGTTTAGTCTTTAGTATCATAAAATTATAATTCATAACTGCTCCCTCCGTAAACTTGTATGTTGGTATGCTCCCTAAGCATGCGCAGTTGTCTGGTGAATAAACATGCCTCTGATTTAATTCGGATCGTGAGTGGGAACTCAATAACTATGCACTACTTTTATCACTTCAGTACAAGTTCAATATGACCAAAAACAAATCTGAAATCTTATGTTTAGTTGGGGTCCTTACAAAAGACTTTTAAGGGGTTGCACGTTAGGGTAACTATATGCCATCTTTTGGGAGGCATGTTGAACCTTAAGTTTGATGGGTGTCTAATGAAACATCCTTATGCTTTGATCTTGTGCTGTAAATAGGTACATGCACGTGTGTATAGTATATAGTTTATTGTAAACAACAGTCTATGAATACGCTACTGTATAATGTGGTGCAACCAGATGTTGCAGCGACGAAGGATTCAATGTTCGATATTAACATTTTTTATGTCGTCTGACTCAATAAAAAAAAGTCATTTCTAAATAATGACCAGTAAGTGGACAGGCAACA